TTGGGAAGTATATGATGTTTGGTATCAGGTTCCTTTGATGTACTACTCCCAGAGCTTATAGAGGTGTCTGAACGCGTACCAGACTCAGCTAGCCAAATTGGACAATCTTCGGAGCTTTCAGTAAGAACAGACTCACGTCTGATAACTAGGTTGGTAAGCTTATGTGCAGAGTCGGAAGAAATAGACAGCAAAGACTCTGATGTTAGGCTGTGAGTGACTCCACAGTGGTTGGATAGTTTGTTTGAAAAATTTTCAATAGCTGCGAGGTCCGGGATCTCTAAAAGATCTCCAGGTGGGACCAGAGTGGTTGTGTTGGGCTTGTGAGGGAAGGCCTTTGCAGACCCATAAATCGGCGTCTGTCGAGTAGGGCGTCCGAGTAGAAGATGTTGAGGGGGACGAAGATGAGGAGGTACGTATTGGGCTTCAAGAGGGGATGGAAGAACAATAGGGGGTGGTCGTAGGTGGGGAAGAAGTGCTTGAGGTTTAGCCAGAGCAGTATTAACGGATTCGGGTGGGGCAAGCTCAGCGGCCGTAATGGCGATATGAGAATCTTCCATAGTTGACGACGTTTTGGAGGAAGAGGTAGTAGTAAGTTTAATTAGTGGGTGGTTTTCGGTATCACCGACAATGGTAATATTATCTTTCGAAATGAATTCTTCAGAACCCCAGGCAAGATGCTCATCTTTGACAAGATCATCAAGAGAAAGGATTTTGTGGATCTGCATTACCATTGGCGGGATGATCGATTCCTCGTTGACGTTTGGAATATCTATGTCGGCCGCTTTTTGTTCTCCAGTCGATTTACTAGCGCATTCTAGAGCAGAAAGATTACGAGAATCTACCAGAGACGGTGTCTCAACGTCATTTTTCTTGGTGGAATCGACCATTTTTGAATCAAGGGCGTTAATCTTTTTAGAAAGGTCGATAGGCTTAATAGGTTCCGGGGATGTAGTGCTTGTACCATCAAGTATTGGAGGCGTAACCGTTTCGACTGAATTTTCAGCATTGACAACACTTTGGCCACGGCTCTGGGCAATAATAGCCCTGGGCTGAGTTGAGTCGGTGGCGATAGCGCTGGTATATGCGTTTGGAGAGATGGGTAGCATCTGTACTCCATCGGAAAGACCTATTTCCTCAACGACAGGAATGGCTTTACTGAGAAGCTCACTGGCAGGAGCAGGTTCAGGTACGCTGAGCGGGGAGATATGGACGGTATTCTCTGGCGAAGTGATTGAAGGGGTACAAGGAGTTTGAAGAATAGTTCTCGAGGTAGGGAGAGGTCTCTTCAACTCAAGTAGCACAGAGTTTGGAACGGCAGAGCGCATTTGATCGGTAAAACGTGGAACGGGAATTCTGAAATACGGCCCTTTCGTCGACTTGGTTTCAGGATGGGAACCTGCTTTGAACGTCTCACACTCTGATTGGACAGGGAATATAGTGAGAGGACCGCACGCGCTTTTCACGGCGATGGAATTGGAGCTTGGAAGGGCTTGGTGAAGAGGGAAGAGCCTAGCGGGGTGAGGAATGCCGGGAAGGAAGGGAGAAACGATGGGGTCTGAAACGGTATCCTCATGTGTGGTAAGAAATGCACCGGGCCCTGTCACGTCTTCCGACCAAAGAATCCTCGTGCCGGTAGGATAACGTATGGCGATGGCGGGGTATACATTGGTGCTTTTGCGTTTAACATTGGTGGCGAGTCGGTCGGGGTCACATGGGACTGCATAGTCTGCTTTATCTTTCTTCTTACAAGAAATCTACATTTAATGAAGTGTCAGACATATATTTTTTAACTGGGTGTGGGCGACAATCGACGCAGAGGAACCGAAAGAACATGTATCGAAGGGAAAAAGGTACATTTCTTGATAGTATAAGGCGGGGGGAAGGGTGGGGAAAGATAAGACACGTACGCTTTTCTTGAAACGATCAATTTGAAACATCTTTGGGCACAGGTCACCTGTTAACAGTGATAGGTTCAGTAAAGCTTAGCTGTGATGATGTGTTAGTTAGGAAGCTAATGGCTAATAACGCGTACAGTCACCCCAGAAAATGGTGTGCCGAAAATATAATAACTGCATGTACATGTAGAAACTCACAAATGTTTGAATGACGCAGGATCGGTCTATTGCAGAACGGGACTGGAATAGAGATGAGATGGGATGGAAAACAATAATTAGAGGATTTCTGTTATGGACGAAGAAGAGGGGAGAAGAAGGTACATGTAAGGTAGGGAACTGAGGTCGGTGACAGTAACATACAACGCCAAGACTGGGAGCGGGGGCTTTTTTAGAAAGATCACATCACCCAAGTCAATCAAATTTCTTTGAGATTTTATTAAAATTAATCACGACGTGCTCTCTTCGTCAAACTCTCACCGGGTTAAGCCTATAGATCAACAACTAATATTCACGGGCGAAGGTAATGCCATCGAGTGATAATTTGTGATCCATCACAACGCACGAAAAATGAGGTTTCTACATATCATGAACCTATTGGGATACAGAACGACAATACTTCCGGCCTAGAATCCGAGCCTGGGTGATTCCGGCGGACATATTTCTATTTTAGTGGGTTAATTCAAGTCACCAGCCTGGTTAGTTTTGTCATTCTCGCAATCTTCCGTCGGCGAATTTTCTTCGAGGTACATACCTAGGCCACGTCAGGAGGTGTATCCCCATCAATCAAATCCAGTTTAATTGACCCTTTGAAACAGCCACTGAGGATCCAATGAGTACTAATACATAAGAAGGACTTGATTTCTATGTGGGGTCTTCTGTCCCGGAAACCTGAGGAATCAGAAATACCTCTAGATATCGGGAACACTTACCATACTTTAGTTAATAAACAAGATCTTCTTCCGAACCCCCCCCCCCCCCCCCCCCCCCTTCTGCTCATCACTGCAACCGGATTCTTCTACAGCGTTGGATTGGTTGATCGAGTAGCGTGCTCTGGGTGTAGTGTAAAGTCATCCCGGCCCTCCATCAAATGAGCAGGGAATACTCCGAATTAGTTGGTGTTTATTCGGAGAATATTCTTCTCCCTAAAAATATAGTCATAAAAGATTTACTGATGCATGAGCTAGAGTCAGAATTGATCTGCGATGCGGTCGAGTGTTGTCTTTGTGATATCCCGATTGAGGTCATGACCTGTAGCTGTGAGGAATATAGGTAAACATACATTTCTCCGGTTTCCCGACGAAACAACCTTCCTAGGGTACATACTACGGAGGTCAGATATACCAATTTACTTAAGGTTGAAATTGGACACATGTGAATTGATCTCCCTCTGGTGCTGCATGATCATGATCTAACATCTGCTCTTTGAAAATATATTGATAGATGATAGTGCATCGATAGTGGCCTCATACCTACCCTTACGAGTAGCATGCTGTGGCACTCACGATCCGTAAAGGCAGCAGAGGATGTGATCCGTCGATCGCTGTTTTAAGGTATATGTACTTGACCAAAATGCTCGGTGTCAAAAACACATATTGTAAGACATACACTTGCGGGTTATTCGTGAAATATTTTCAAGGCTTCCCCACACCAAGAAAATGGAAGATTCTTACTGACTATGGATCATATAGTTATAGTCAAACGGTTGAAATATGAGTATGTACCGATATTAGTACGACATCACTACAAGTAGTAGGTGGAAAATGAAATTGTTAAGTAAAACAGAGCGGCCCTGTTTGTTTCCATTGTACGTTTATGTCCTCCCCCAAGATGAATGGAATTTTAGGTCTAACAATGGATTTAGACGCGACGTACGAAATATGCAAGCGGTAATATATGCCAAGGACTTGGCATCGATAACAACTTTCAACGAGTGATATTCTGTGCGGCTGTGACCGACATGTCAAGAATTGCTATCCCATCGACTGTAAAAACAGTTTTGTGGTTCAACCGTGTACTGAATTATTTATCATACATGTATTTATGCAACTAGTAACCACACGTGAGGAAAAAAATAAATATCGATACGAGATATAATATATCTTACTCTTCCTGTCTTATTTGGATTCGATTTGTGTTTTTAAGATTTTTTCTCCTGGTTGCGTTGCCAAAAGTTTGGTGCGCGCGGGTGGCCTGAATCCGCCTACAATCGATGGGATATGTACATGTAGTACACACTGGAAACCCACTACATTTACCCAAGGTCTCTATGCCATATAAATGTATGTAGGCTTAGTTCTGGGCGCCGTAGCCGTATAAGAGGTTCGAGTAAAATCGAGATTTTGTACTTAGGACCAGATTGAACACCTTTGAAAGCACCTATCTGTAAGGGCTTTAGCACACATAGATTCAAATTATTACTTTTAAGTATCGGGCTTACTCCCAGGTGTATTTCATGGAAATTTCATTAGGTAGATTTTCAGGGGTATGAGTACATGTATCGCTGGCTGATATATGTACATGTAGTAGAAAGATCTTTCGTTATGGTTATGGATTTACAATCAATATATGTAATTCTACTTTCATTCACGCTATATGATCAAGAAGTTAACTTCATATGTTAGCCTAGCTTTGACTTATGTAAATGTGGAGGTTTTGACGTTTGAACGGATATGTAAAGATCATGGGTAATAATCAGCTTGAAGTGTTTCTGGCTGCCCTTATCGATAAACATCATACAATATGCTATCAGAAACATTGGATCAGCCTCACGGTTACGAATTCTACATTTGGCTACACCACTAAAGGGCTTTGATAGCATCAGGATATATGAGATAAACATATATGTAGCTCTAATAAGAATTGATTCCTCCTGAAGAAGAATCGAGTCAAATATGTTAAACAAAAGTTGATTCTATTATTACGCATTTGGTATCTGTATCTGACTGTCGTATCTTCCACATAATCCCCAGATTATACTGATTATGAACACGGGATTAAAATGGTAGATGTAAATCGAAGCCTCAATACATTGCGTAAACCTTCCCGTTGAGTTTATAGCCCATGTTTCCTCCTTCGATGATAATGCACCCTTAGAAGTTTGCCATTTCAAAAAACCTTATAACCCGACTCCGAGTTCGCGCCAGCATTAACTTGAGGGGTGATTTGTTCTCTTGGAGGTTCCGAATGAGCGACATGCTTGAGTGGGGGAGGAATTGGGAGAGGCAAAGGTGCCAGGGGCGTGAGTGACTTGTCGATGGGCCTGTCTCTGCGCTGTGTCGGGAGTGATAGCACTCCGGGTTGATGCCGCTTAGGAGCCGGGTTGATGTCGTGGAATGGAGTCTTTCTTTTGCTCCTCAACACGTGCGTTGGTCCAGTGAAGTGTGTTGAATTCTCGGAGGAGGATGGAGGTTTCATCACGCTAGGTTGATTCTCGCCGGGATTATTGGTTGGAGAGGTTTGAGGGTTTAGAACAGTCTTCTGACTCCCAGTCCCCAAGGAACAGCTCGAAGGATCGGTATTAGCGGGATTAAAGTTAGGCTCAAGGATAGCTAAATTTTTGTCCGCTGCAACTTCACTTGCGTTTTGATTTTTGGCCACTTGTGAGTAATGAAATTTGACAAATGCTGATCTTCCTTGCTCTGCCGGTCTGTTTGCTACGTTTTGAGTCGCAGAAGAAATTTGGTTGGAAAAGTCGGATGCTATGAATGGACCTCGGTTGGTAGGTAACGACTCCTCTTCGATCTTGATGTAATGCAGCTTTCCTTCGGGCAAGACATCCAGAGGCGCCGGTTGCGGGAAAGAACCCATCTCCGTCACGGCAATCGATCTGTCACTGTATAATCCTACGAAACGCTTAACAGGCCAATACTTATGACTGCCCAACACAACGGGCGCATGTGATTGCTTTCAACAGGCAAGCAAATTAGCACAGATATGATGGTATTAAAAAAAAAAAAAAAAAGAAAGAAAAAACTATACCTTAATGTGTTTAGTCAAATCATGACGCCGCTGCCATTTACGACCGCAGTAGTCGCAATCATGCTCGAAATAGGGTATATGGGTATGCAGGTGAGAAGTGATATTATCACGTTTTTTGTACACTTTTCCGCAATAATCCCAGGCGCATTTGAGAGTAACTGATGAACCCCTCCTCACATGTGTTTCTGTTACATGGAACTAAAAAGAATGAAGAGAATTTAGCAACAGTCAAAAAGATATTGGGATGTAAGAAGTGATTCTAGACTTACACGTAAAAGCATCACATCGTCAAAGGATTGATTACAGCCAGACCACTTACAGAGGTAGGTGCTGCACTCAGGGATAGATTGACGATTTCGAAGAGAAGATCGAACACCAGGTAGAGGCCCGACGTCTCCCTGTTGGGCAGGCGGAGCGGTGGTGCAGAGAACATCATTGTGCATTTCTGACCGAACAATAAAGGTGTTCTGATGAGGATGAGAGACCGGGGTCTGTGGAATGATGGCCTCTTCACGTGAGTCCATCCCGGCGTTGGCCCTCACGAGAGCGTTGAGAAAGTCGGCAGGTATCAAATCGTCCGCATGAGTCTTAGATGTTGACCCAAGTAGTTCAGGACATATGGGTGGTTCCATAGGCGCGGCACCTCGAGGACGTGCTGTGGGCGGGGTCTCAAGAAATTGATTCCAAGAGAAAGACTCTCTCGATTCGAAGAGCGGATCATATTGTTGAAGACTTGCAGAGGGAGTTGCACTTGTCGTGCTCAAAGCTTCACCGGCTTGGGTGAATCTTTCGTCGTATACCGAGGTCTCCGCATCTTCACCAACCGCTACGGAGAGGGCTCTCTCATTGCCGTAAAGCCTAGGGTTGAACTGCTGTGCAACATTGACTGCATTATTTGCATTGACAATTGGTTCCATGATATGCACGTTGAGCGTAGATATGTGATTCTGCCAAGCATGTACTAATAACGCACGGATTGGAGGGGAGGGTGGAGAAGGGTGAGGAAAGGAAATTAGTGGACAGAAGTGGGATGTACTACAGGGAACTGGAACGTACATGCGTGACAGTGGAGGGACACTACATGTACATACATGTACATGCCTGTATATATTCAAGGTCACATGATGTTACCCGGCATCAGTCACGCAGAGAAGCATAGAATACATGTATGTAGAAATTTATTCGAACTGAGTCATTTGTGTAAATTGAGGAGGATTGATCCACATTGATCCCTGCTGGTCAAACGAGCTTCAAGAAAATTTAAATTACCCTCATGAGGACTTCAGAGGAGAGATATCTTATGCGAAAAGAGACTGCTTTTATGCCCCGTGATGCCAGAACTGCGCTTCATGACTTGGCTACAGGCTTTTACAAATGAAATTCGGTCTACATAGGAAGATTAGGAGCTAGATTGATATTGGTGTCTATTAGTGCATTTTATATTGACTATTCTTGAAACTTTGGAGTTCTAAATTAAAATTTAATCTATGGGAAGGAATACACTTAAGTCTTAGGGGAAAGGTTGATCTAATTACGTCGAGACATTCGGATTCAATATTACTAGGGGATCGGTCACGGGAGATTTGATATCACTTTGGATGCACCGTTGCATAACCTAAAGATGTCGTCTTTCCACTTTCACAGTGTAAGATTGGGGCTTACATGTACATGTAGTTACTGTATTAGTAGAGAGTAGGCGTGTATACATGTACACGTATGTACCGTATTTCTACCGCTTGTACCTACATGTATTTTGACGTTGTGGCGACGTTATACATGGATATATTTTTGCCCAGCCATGCACCCTCCCACACGTTTGAACTTTATCTCAAGTGGAGGAGACTAACCCACCATCCGTATATACTAAGCTCACTCTATCAACATTTTGCTCTGTATACACGGCCATATCGATTACTATAATCATTACACCAAGATCTGGTCTACATAACTAAAATTAGAAGGTCTACCTCTACCTGTCCATATGACTGGCTTCCTGGAATCGTTCAGGTTCGGTCGCAAAAAGCCGAATCTGGGTCACACCGAGCAGGTTTCCACCTCCCAACATGACGAAGACGATTCTTTCGACCATTCTGCGTACGAGGCATTTGCCGACCTCACACCTCGTACAGAAGAACCTGTTCTTATCTCTGAGATGAACAACCTTCCATCCATATTTCCTGACAGTCATGGTGAGCCCGGGGATGTCTGGGTCGATGAAAACCGCGAGATTCTGGAAACGCAGAGGGTGACTACGGCATGGACTAGAAGTACGGGAGCTTCGAACTTTACAATTCAAGATGATTATGTTACCTTCACTCGTGACCCACGAAGATGCTCGCAAGCGACACAAGACCGTGCGAATGCCCTGCGAATCAAAGCGGACCTATTCTACCGAGGTGCAGTCAGACATGGAAGAGAAAGACACGAGAGGTACCGGAATTAATCCCTCGCTCATTTTTCCTCACATGCATGTGTATTAACCTGTCATAGACTCCTCGTACTTCAGAAAGAGTTAGAGAGCGAATCACTATCGGAGGAGAGGAAAAACCGGAAGAGAAGTCAATTAGGCAATCAAGAGAATCAATTCTTGCGTCTGCGAAGAACAAATCTTCGGCCAGAGCACTTTACGATTTTGAAGGTAATTGGACGGGGTGCCTACGGTCAGGTCTGTATGGTACAAAAGCGAGATACTGGAAAGATTTACGCTATGAAAACGATACCAAAATATAGAATGAAAAACGCGGATCTTGCGCATGCTAAGGCAGAGAGGGATGTCATGGCGGATGCAAAATCACCATGGCTAGTTGGATTATGCTTTTCGTTTCAGGACGAAAGTAAGCTTTACTTAATTATGGAGTTTCTGCAAGGAGGTGATATGATGACTTTACTCATGAAATACGATACATTCACGGAGGATATTACAAGATTCTACATGGCTGAGCTTGTATCTGCTATCGAAGCTGTTCATAATATGGGATATATCCACCGGTATGTGTCCGACAATTCAAATTTGAAGGTTCTGAAGACTAATAAACTATGAACATATAAAGGGACATTAAGCCGGACAATGTTCTTCTTGATTCGAACGGCCACATTAAGCTTTCTGACTTTGGTCTCGCAACTGGATTTCGCAAAGGGCATAGTGCACAGTACTATAGTACCCTTCTCACGGGACGAGGCTCTTTACAAAACTCTAACGGCACAAGCGGACGGACCAGAAATTCTCTCATAGTGGATAAGATTCATCTTGAACTTTCTGATAGGAAGTCACTGAACACTTGGCGGCAATCGCAACGGCTTAGAGCTCACTCAACTGTTGGGACACCAGACTATATTGCGCCCGAAGTGTTGAGCCAGAGTGGCTATGGTAAAGAATGTGATTGGTGGAGTCTTGGAGCAATAATGTATGAATGCTTAATCGGATGGCCGCCCTTTTGGTCAAATATAGAGGGAGAGACCGCAGTCAAAATCCAGAACTGGCAGAACACCTTTTCCTTTCCCGAGAATGTTGATCTATCAGAAGAGGCCAAGAGTCTAATTCTATCTTTACTCACGTCTGCTGAATATAGGCTGGGGTCCCTTGGGGCCCAGGAAATTAAGGCACACCCATTCTTTAATGGAATAGACTGGAAAAAGCTTAAGACTTTTGATGCTCCTTTTAGGCCGCAACTAGCATCAATCACTGATACCTCGTAGGTCGCCCGAGTGATTAGTAGCTACTAGAGCTAACATGGTACTCAGATGCTTCCCTGATGAGGATGAGATTATATCTCAGGAATATATCGGCCAGTATGGGGATTCGCCGAGAGGTCTGTTAGCAGCTAGGCAAGGCAGGGAGCAAGACACACCATTTATGGGATACACTTATCATAAATTGTAAGTGGGGCGAGAAGACCTAACAAAACCAGGCCGAGACTGACCCAGGTGTAGCGGCGACGTTGTCATTTCCGATGTTTGAAAACACTATATACTCCTTCTTTTTAAATGTTAGCTGGCTATCAATGTCGAAAAGTGCTTGACCAATCAGATATACCTTCCACTACCAAGGGCACCCACAATGTGACAGGTTGATATTGAGAGTTTATTTAATGTCAAAGTCTCCCCAGGCATCACAGCTGTTGAAATGTTGAGATTTGCGATGTCAACATTTATACGCGTGTAAATTATTGTCACTTCATGGTTTTCAAAAAGGAAGACCGGCGATGTTCGGCTGGGGCAGGTCTTTTATTAAAAGATATTGTTGTTTCAAGTGTTATAAAATGAGTCAATGCTGATGGATCCCCTCCAAAAGAAAAATTGTGGACGGCTAGTGTGTAATTAGACTGGCCTAATCTATGCAAAACCATCTGAACTTCACCTCCGGAGGTCGATTTAGGATCGTGGTTGTTCTCTGATTCCGCCCGGCCTCCCCGTTCAATGACGGAGTATTTGAATTGGTTGTTCGCGAATAGATCTCAGGTATCGATAAAGGTTAATGGTCCGGCTCCGTATACCTGGTGCTAATCGAGCCCTGATATCACTGCCTTCAAGATGTCTTACACGGTAAGAGCTTATTTAAACTTTACTAGATCTAGAGCTGTAGATGCGATTTCGTAAGCTCTTGAGATGACTTTATCAAAGCTCCTGTCTACTGCCAAATAATGGAGGAAAGGAACTAATTTTATCACGGAAACCTGATCAAGTGATTTATCTTGATGTCCATGAGGGAGTAGATTAGTGAAGTATCTGAATCAGGTTTCTATCCCTTTCTGCGAAAATAAGAAGTAATTATTCTTATTATTATATCTGAATCAAGTTTCTATCCCTTTCTGTGAAAATAAGAAGTAATTATTCTTATTATTATATAGCGATTTTCAAAGCGGACGGCTTCTGGGAAGTACCGATAACCCTTAAGTATACCACATTTCCATCTTAAAGACTTAAACTCGTTAAAGTGCTTATTAGACGCGATGAATATTCTTGGATAATTGTAATTGAAAGAGAATAATACGTGTATATATAGATAGAAGAGGGATATCGATTTTGAAAAGAAAGGCTCGGGGTAGAGGGATTATCATCCCGGGCTTTCTCGCTATTATATTAGTGATTAAAATTGATGGAGGGTGACATGGGGCCGCTGAAATTCTTTCTAAAGCTGTAATCGTCGCTGCTTGTTGACGATGGTAATGATGGTGGTAGTAGCAGGTGCGGTAGCGAATTGGGTTCGTTTGGTTATGAGAAGGGAATACTGAAGAAAACACTTTGATATCACGGATCGGAGGAATAATATTTCCGCGCTGGTATGGTATGCGCGAAGGGAAGAAATATATAACAGTAGAATCCACGCAATTAAATGTGCTGTTGAAGGTTAATATTTTGCCTACAGAAGAATCGCTATGCTAACAAAGCTTTAATGGCGGTGTGCTTGAGATGATGGTAAAAATGGATTTGGCGTCCGCTTGGTGGTCTGGGCGTGGTGTGTCGTGCCGTAGGGTGGTTCTGTGAAGACAAGACATGTACAAGACAGGGCCAAGTCTGGAGGTTTTGAGATCGAGACCGCTTTGACTTCCCCCCAACATGAATATAGTCACAAAACTATTGCTAGCTGATTCTCTTCTTTCCATTTCAAAATAAGATTTGGGTAAAAAAAAGGATTTGAAATTGGCTCCGCCAGGGAATTGAACCCAAGTACCGGCTGTCGTCATACGTTTCCTAACCCGGTGTAGAGATCTCTATGGTAACAAAGCTTGAAAGACAGTGTGTTCGGGGAGGTGGTAAAGATGGGTAAATATTAGTAACTATGAGGGGGACTGTCAGGAAAAGGCCTGTCGGGGTAAACGTTCAGGAAAAGCCAGTATAAATAATGCGAGTTAATACATTCTTCCACAGAGTTTGACTCATCTCGGTTCAAAGATAGAATTTCTTGTCCATTGCCGGTAGTGGTCCACAGTCTAATATGTTATGTAGGTGACGTTGTGTGAATGCGGGGAGCGGGTAACTAATGGGGGCATTATAATGCGTGATGAATCGCCATGTACTACTTCTCCTCCTCCATCACCATCGATCATATAACAAACATCTATTAAAATGCCCCAATTCATCCCAACCTACTTAAACCCTGGCTCGGCCGTTGATACGACAGGGACATCAATTCCGACTCTCATCATTATTTTCACTGTTCTCGCTTGTGCGTCTATGCAGATCAGTCGAAGACTTCTCCCGGACATTGTCAACATCCTCCAGGAAATCGGGTATGCTTCCGTGTTCACCTACTAAAGCTAGCATCTTTCGGATCTGGCAACTCCTTTATTGCGCTCACTTCTAACTTACATGTTGAATCTGGTAGCACTGTTTTGGCACCTTGGTATTTCAGCATTGCTGGTGAAAAGTTCCCTGGGTACCCTGGGCCTGCTAGTCCAGATGTAGTGCGGTCATACGACAAAGCCATTCACTACCTTGAATATCATTATGAGGAGTGGCGTTGCGCGTTACCCATCTACAAACTTGCGGAGCCTTTCAATCCGACACCCAATGAGATTTATATCTACAGCGGACGATCACCAAGCACTACGCCAAAAAGATCTCTTTTGAAGACTCCCCGTCGAAGGGCTCCACAAGCGACATTTTCAGGCCATATTCCATCTCGGATGAACATAGTACTGAACATGGATGAGGATTAATCTCTCAAAAGGCGGTGACTACGTTCATCTCATATCAGAAAGTTTCAGTTTGACCCAGTGCTCCCCCGAAGAAAATAACTCTTCGTTTTTATCAAAGAGAGAAAATAACCAGAAAATAAAAAACAGGAAGAAAAGATATCAATCAACATGAACCCGAAAATTTAAAAGCAATCACCACACATCCTCACCTCAAAATTCATATTAGAACATTTCTGCTTCTAGCGTTTGTTCATGAAGACGGAGCATAACTGCTCTGGTGTACCTGCTATTGCTGCAGGTGGCAATCGGATCTTACCTCTAGCCAAGGTAAATGTCCGTGAGCCAGGTTCTTCTTGGTTTATATGGGGCCACAAAGCGTGTGTTTGTTCCGGACTCGTGCTTGGTGACCCTTGATTCACGGGTGATTCCGAACTGAGTCTATAGCAGCGGTGATTGATTGATATTGGTATCTTGGTCTGTATTTGGTAGAGATTGTCGCTCCCAATCTCCAAGATCAGTAATTTCTTCAATTACTTTGGTATTCGGCTCAAAAAAGCGTGGGGTTCTAGTTTATTGACATATGATGATTGTGAGGGGAGTTCCGCCACCCACATCAAGCTGATGTCTCTTTAGTCATTTCATTTCTCTAATTCGTTTTCTCCACTCCCCTGAGAGCCTTCCCTAGTGCTTGAATTTCTATGTACCGAATCGTGCAAGTCCGGCCCATGCAGCTGCTTTTTATGTACTTCTATTCTGTTTTTGAAGGGTCTTCACCAAGTCCGTGCGGTATTAAAAGTGATTCTTAATTACACGTGTAGCTATACGTGGAGACGACACAGGGCTCTTACGCTAACGTATATGTCTTCCCGTTTTCTTAGATGCCTTTAAATACAACCTTTTACATTTATGTGCCTCCTGATCGGTCGATACCCAACCCGCTTCCAACTAACCAAGTAGTCCTCTTGTAAAATATACAGCACAGTGATACTGAGTCTAGTATTCTTGAAGTACCCATAAGCCAGCGGCGGAAAGATATATGGCGGTTTGATGCAAATAAACTATGATACGCAGAGGGTATCAGAGACATAGATGTGCAGACGTACAGTAAGCGGAACGGGCTGAAGGCCCCAAGATCTTGTTGTTAGACTCAATAGACCCAGAGTGTCATCAGCCAACAAAATCAAAGTGACCAACAGATGCCTGAAGTTAATTCCCATATCCGTGACATCGGGAATAGACCCCACCACCCCCACCAGATGTCGAAATAGGACAAACAGGAGGCGTGCACAACAAAGCAGAGAGTAAAGCTTGATAGAAGGACAATATCGATAACTAGCACTAAGAACCACAACATTCCCACTCTCAGCTGAACCTCATGCTCATCCAATTTCAAGCTTCATGAGATATCACTCGTCTGTCTTGGCTGGGGAGGATTTGATTGATTGATTGTTCTTCATATAAGAGGGTAGTTACTCTGGAGCTAAAACAGGATCTCCTTTCATGGGACAGCCGAGCTGCAGATTGGCAGCCGGGTGTCGGCTCGGATCGCTGCATGTGGACACGGTGCAGAGTGTGTTAGAAAGCTAGATTCCGGCGGAGTTCTTGTGCTGCATGTGGGATAAGTGTGGGGTGTTATTCTCTCGGAGAACCGACAAGAGATAGATTATAGGTATCAGCTGAGTAGAGTTCAGCTGTGGTGTGTATGTGCTAGCTGTGGATGAATTGGTAGGGTAGTCCTTGGTTTTCGACGGTTATATCTTTTTGGACTGGTGATTGAGTTCAACTATTATTGCAAACAAATCTCGCCGAAACTCACAAAACGCTATTTCGGAAATCAATGTTTTTTATTCTAGCTAGATATAAATTTCTCCTCGCGCTCTCTTTAACTGCAAACCAACGTGCTATACTCGCAGACCCCCGCCCCATCTTATGCCTAATCCTCTCTCCAGATCATGCTCTTCTCTTTTTTCTCTAAATTGCAATTTCTTTCCTGCACGCATAAACCACTAATCATTGGCCTTCATCATATCTCAACTAAAACCCTACTTCTTCCTGAAAAACTCCAACAACACCGCGCGCGCCTTTCTCATCAACCTCTGTCTCCTTCCGTCCTCTGAGCTCCGCGTATCCGCTCTCTCAACATCCGCAATCCAATCCTCCACCCGAGTGGCGGCCTCCGCAATCTGCGCTTCGGTCTTGCCGCTTCCGGGTCGCTTCTTCGGTATATCTTCGAGGCTTGGAGGTGGCGCGGGAGGGATTGTGTACTGACGGGTGGAAGGGCGCCACTCGGGGGACGGTGATCGATCGCGGACTTCGACTTCTTCATCTGAATCGTGGAGGATCTCGCCGACGCGGTCGTCGCGGGCACCACGGGGACCGAAGCCTTCGGGTCTGGGGTATCTAGGCATATTGGTCTGTTGGTTGGTGAAGTGGATGTTGGTGTATGCGTTTAGTTGCGCGGGAGCTGTGTGTGTATGTTGGAAGTGTTGGGAGGTAAACTAGATTGACTTCAATGTAGCCTTGGTTGATTTGTATTAGTTTACTTACTGTGAACGGTCAAGGCAGGATGTGATGATGGGAAATAGGGGGCGAGATTGGTTGCTTTTATTGTGAATGCATTTTCAAGTGTGGAGTATTGTTGTGATGATTGTTCCATCGTTGACGTAGTCTTGGAATATCGAACCCTGCCGATTGGAACTTGAGAACTTGAGATATCTCAACCCAACATGAGAATTGAAACGAGACTTTTTCAAGCCAATGAGTCTTATAAAAGCTGTAAATACGTTCAACAATTTTTCAAGGAGGAGGCCTCGAGCAGAATGAAAAGGTATGAAGATAAGCAAAGTAAAAAAAAGAAAAAAGGAAAATGAAAAAGAATATCTCAGAGGATTGAAGGCGGAGCGATTTCCTGTTTAATGTTAAAGGTTCCGTCTGCGTGCTCACTCATATCGCACCCTTGATCCCATCTTCAAGATAACAGAAATCAGTAGATGAGATTATTATCGGTGGAGGAAGATTTTCCCACCCCCTTAAAAATATAGAATCGTCTTTCACTAGGTTTCTCTGATCTTAAGAGTATGTGAAAAAGATCTGACACGATGGAAGTCTCTGCTGAATTCTCAATAAAGATGAGCTCATGAACAGGCTAGCTTATCATATTCTGTTTTGGTTGTGGTTCAGTCTCACGGAAATGCAGACCAGTTGACTGCTCTGCACTCGTCTTTGATTATATCCTTGTAGCTGATGCTAGTCAAGAGTTACATCTTGCCGAAGAGAATCTGTTCACTTCCATGTTAATTATGCAATGGAATATTGACAAGAGGTCAGGAGCAATGATTGGACAGCACGAATATAGGAGGTGCTGGGCAGTTAGACCTACAGGTTCTGCGAAATATACTGAGCTATCTCACTTCCTTAGACTCCAATATGCTTCCTCTGAGATTTCGTAATGATACAGGCGAAGAAAAATAAAAGAAACGTACTGGGTCGAAATCGTGCTCCCAAGCTCTGATGAGTAGTAAAAATGCTCTCATTTTCTTAGGAGCGAACGCAGAAACAAAGTAGTTCTTCGTCGAGATAGCGTATTGACATGCTTGGAATTGTGGACAGTGAACAGTGGTGGAAGGATAGCTACCGAAATCTTGTTCCAAGAGAGAGGTGTTTAGCTTGGTCTCTGAGATTAACTCCAAGCCTCTGATACAGATAGAGATAAAGGCGCTGTCCAATGATTCTGAGGGTCGACGTATACGTATAGATCTCCGTGAAACATGTACCTTCTAAACACACAACAGATCTGTCAACAAATATTATACGATATAGGACCAAAAGCTCTAGCAATTGGCGGGAGCATACGTCGTTTCATCTAGCATTTCCCCCACTTATTGACTTTTACAGCATAGCTGGCCTAAACGCAAAGATGAAACTATGCGGTATAATTTCGAGTAATGATCGAAGGGGTCCGTGGAATCATTATCACTTTAACATTGCGCTACCTTCGAGCCGGAGGTTAGAGACAACTATGGCCGCTTGTGTCATTGTCTGGATTGGTATTAAGAAGGTTTGATAATGATGCTTTCATGTTAATCCCAATAGGCTAATCGAGGGGGTGGTCGTGCCTTGGTTTGAGATCAATTGCTGTGGATTGGGGGTTGTCAGAGTATGTATATACATGCACCTGTAACTTGTGTGAACTAAAACTGCAGGGTAATATTTCTAATACCACCTTTGGCTGACCGCACACAACCACCCCCACCACCACCACCACCACCGCCACAAAGCTAGTACAGTCATCGAAGAACATCGACAATGGCCATTCGCAAGCAGAGTCAACCACAAAAAGCTCGCACCCAAGAGGATCCTCCGGACAAGGTACGTCTGGTCGCTCTTCCTCCCTATCAGGTTTGCTGAGATCCATTCTAGTATCCGCCGCCGGAGGCACCGTCGGCGCCAAGAAGGAAAGGAACTGTAAAGGAGATATTAGCAATGCGTGAGCGAGGATATGATAGGAATAATCCTGCACAACCGATAGTCACCGTGTGTTCCTCCTGTATCAGAGCCAATTGGGCCTCAGATTTTTGCTAACCCAGTCTTTACGTAGACATCCTCGCCACAAGAGATGCAAAGCCCTCTAAATAAGCCAAATCAAAGGATAAAAAGTCTAGTAAGCTTTCCCTCTATCCAAGGTGGTACTTAGATGTTTCACAACCATTCCTCTGAAGGTGCTAACCGTTTTCCCAGGGAGCTTTCCAGCAGGAGGTAGAGAAGCAGGGGCGTAAACAGGTGACTAAACACTCAATTCAGGGCTATCGGCAATCTTGGATTTTTGTCGGCACATTTATTCAAACCTAACATTTTTACACGCATCAGAATATCCCACAAAGAAGAAAATCGTCATTAGGAAAGAAACCTGCTACATCCACGGAATCTGAGGACGAATATGACGCGGGAATGGAAGTAAGTATTCCACCCGGTCAGATCCTACGCCAATACTCATAGTACTCACATCCCTTCCTAGAGGATGCGATTGCAACAAAACAGGTTGTTCAAGGAGAAGAAGCAAGTAAAAGCCCGGGCAGATGCTTCCACAAGTAAAGGAGCGGCTTCTGTTACTACCAAAGACATGGTAAGCGTTCTCCATGGAAGGCCACCTTAGTAAATCTCTTTCAAGTAATATCTAATTAATACATACTAGGCGCAAAAAAAAGCGACTACGGTAGATAATAAGCGCATTCATTCTCCCGAATTCCCAGATCACTCAGCACCTTCTTTAGTGGGTATTCTTGGAGATCAGATGCTCTTAACAACACAATGAATCTAAATATTCTAGAAGTCACAGAGCGATGAACCTAAAACCCCTCTACCCAAGGCACCGAAGCGGATACGACTGGAAGATTACAGTCGTACAAGAGAGTCAGGAGTAAGCTTTCCTTTCGTTCAATGGAAGAGAAAACGAGATTGATAAGTCAATAGCATATACCTTTAAGGCGCGGAGCGGCTGATAGGTGGGGAGAGGCTTTCCAGCAACCAGAACATGATATCGCAGGAAGTCTGTTTGGGGAGGAACACGGAGCACATATTACTTTGGAAGAGGAGGCGTCTGAAACAAGCACTGCCAGAAGAAAGCTTCTAGAAGGGAAGTACGCACAAAGTAATGTGGGTTTAGAACAATCAAAGCCTGATCTAGCGAGGGGCTTCGACATAGGGCTTAAAGTTCAGAACCCACGCCCAAACCACAAAGTGGCCGCTGAGCCCAGAAAAAGAGAAGCTATTGTCAAAATGTTCAGGGACGACGTCCAAAAACAAGCAGAAATATCGAAAGCGGATCGACGACAAAAGGGCCTGGATGCTCTGTATGATAATCTGTTGGCAAAGGCTATACCGATGATAAGGGGTTTTGAGGTCGTGCTCGATGTGGCTTACACGGAGGAGACCTGGTGTAGACAGCTGGCTGAGCGTATCGAGCGGACCGTGGACAACGATGGAAGGACTGAGCACAATGCATATGTAAAGAAGTGTCGCTCGATTCTGTTCAACCTCAAAAAAAATGAAACTCTTTTTGCACTTCTGATTGCTGGGAGCGTCACTCCCGAACATCTAGCCAAAATGAGCTCCGAGCAGATGATCTCAGAAGAAGAGAGGGAGTGGAGACAAAATGAGCGGGAGAAAGCAACAGCCAAATGCACAATTGCTCAGCAGACGCAGGAACCCCATATTCGTAAAACGCATAAGGGTGAGGAACTAGTGGAAGATATTCATCAAAGGTCATCCCGAGAGCCGATAAGCGATAGCCTGTTCTCCTCTCCTGAACTTAGGCCTCTGAATGTGGATGAAAATAAAACTACACTGGAAAACGAATTTTGCCTTTCAAAGGTTCATGCTCAGATACCTCTGATACCGCATCCGATACAAGCAACTTCCACTAGCAAACAAGGAGCTAAAAATATGGAAACTCCCTCGGTAAGCAATAACATTCCCCACGCCAGAGACATACCATGCCTCGAATTAACAGGCTCACGTATTGATTCAACTTTAAATCAGCAGGGAAAATCAGGCTCTTCGCAGCGAGACATCACTAGACCTCATGGGCATGGACCTTTTGACACAGATAGAGGTGGGAATGAGCCGGAGGCCCCTGGTAGCACCTATACAGGGATAAATATCACTGATCAGACTTCGATGGATGGATATCAGTGTAAACGACACTGTTATCCCCCGTACGCACACCGCGAAGACATCTTTGAGAGCCAGACATGCGCCACTCCACCATACTCTCCGCCATTTACCCTACCATACTCCCCCACAGATACCGTTGTTGGGGCTCAAGAATCTATGGATAATACCGCAGGAGAAGAGGCATTAATTCAGGACCAGGAAGAATGCTCTGGAGACGAATGGTGGTCACAGCGACCCTATCCCTTTATTGATTTAACATCCGATGACGATATTGAGATAACTGGGTCCAGAATGTTGATAAATTCCAGTACTCCCGTTCAGATCTCTCGTCCCCATGGAGGGGAAGAGTTACAGGCTAACTGTACTACCTTTTGTTCAAATCAATCTGCAAGAGAGCTTTCGCCTGCATCTTTTGAGATTGGGGATTATGCAATCTTGGATTTCGAACCTGATGAGGAAAACAATATGATATGGGATTCTAGTCCTACGACTGGACATAATCCGTCGACTGACAGGCAACACAACCAAGAACCTCCAAATATGGATAATAGGCATAATTATAATGATAGACTTGATGCTAGCATCAGACGCGGCCACGATGAGCAGGTTCAAGAGTATGGAGTTCTATCTGAAGGCTATGAATACCACGTCCAGCAGTCTGGAAATCAGAATCCAGTTGATCTACAAGCACGCCACCACATGCCTTCCCAAGACTACGACAACAGACACAGAGAGTCATCGTCGCATTATCAATATTACACGGCCCAGGTCCAAGTAAATACCGGCGAATATGGGAATGCCCCAAATTCAACTGGTTTCCCCGCTGCTCGTGGCATTCAGGGTTCGGTACAAGACTCTGACGTGGATTCTCAACATTTTCGTCGCGCTGGACTCCAGGCTCACCAGCAGCTTAATCGAACAGAGCTCTACGAGCGAGATGGTATTCAATATGGCTCTTCCAGTTTTTATCCACATGGGCGCTCTTCAAATATGGTCGGTACCCAGCCTAATCTCAACCCTGCGCTCGATCCACAAACAAGGCCCGATTATTATAACCCCGCTGTGCGCATCGAGCTTGCACCATCCGGCACTAGACCCAAACCACAAAATAGTTATCCGTCTTCATTCAGGGGCTATGAGCCCCGACGCGATTTCGACTATCGTTAAGTCTCCAGAGGATAGTTACCTCTAAAACCTAATTCCAACTGCTGAATGATGGATACTTCTGCCATGTGAGTAACAATCTTTTAATGGCCGCGGTTAATGTAGCTATTCCTTCTGTGCGATAAGGCTTTCTTTCATTGATCTAACTTGACTCAATGCAGCTCAGGATTCATCTCTTCCAAAATAGTACCGCTTACTTAAACCATATTTCCTACTGTAATGAGATGGGAAATAGTGTTTGTAACTAGAGATAAAAGGTGGGGAAAGGAGGTAACCAAGCTAGAGGTCAAATAATTATCGCAGGTCAAATTCTGAAATCTCAACGGATCCTCTATATATCTCCTACGAGTTCCTGTCTTCGAATTCGTGTTATATATACTTGCAAAGTGGTTGATGACCGCTTTTGCGGTGCGAGTAGCATGAACCTGTTGTGCAGTGAATTGCGGGTGGCCGGAGTGGTCGACAGCCGTTGTTATATGGCAACCCTGGTGCCAATGAACGCCTTTATGTTTGTAAGCACAAGGACGAATGACTGTGCAGGACTTAAGGACAGGGTAACAACCAAACATGTGGCATGTCCTCAGCCCTAATGGTGATCTCTCATTGGAGACATTCGGTTGTTATTAGCTTTCAATGAGATTTGACTTCTGTAGGAATATATGGTATGCTATGGGGAGGGTTACATGAAGAGGGATCTTGACGCGAGGTAACATGCTATAGTAGATGATACCAATTTTTAAACCCTTTTGACCCGACGCAGAGAACAATAAGCTCTTGATATTTATGTGTGAATTTAAAGAGACCGAGGAGGGAAATAATTGTGGGACTGTAAATACGTATTCTAGGTGATGTGGATGCACTTTCATACTGTATCCCTGGCATCTCAACTTTGCAGTGAGGGCAGAACCGCAGGAGACTAAGCTTAATTCATACTGGTCATCAAAAATATTAATTCTTCGAGCTGGAAATTATATATATACACTCTATACACAATAATATTTTGTAGCATTGTCCTTGAGGTGAAGTGGAAGATTAACTTTTCTAGCTATCACTCGTCGTTGTGGCGGTGGATTATCCATGGAAGTCGCTATATAAAGGTGTGTATAGATCGGATAAAGAAATGGACTCTGGGAAAACGTATAAGGGTGTTTCTAAACACAGGTCAGATGTATCTTCTGCCAACGCTATAGGTGATTATCGATAGCATGGGGTTACGATCCTCTTTGCCTAAACAACCGTGCAATTTTAAGATTGAGTCAAGTGAGTTATCTGATAACAGATATACAACAATGGTTATTCTCTGCTATGTGAATCTTGGTTATTAAACTACTTGATTATAAAACAAATCTAGTCTATGGAGCGGTAAATGTGTCAAAAGTAATTTTACCAACGGTAGTAAATTATTTACCATCGGTGGTATAAGCACTGAATTTCAGTCATTGTATCTGCACGCTATCCTACATTAGTACATTTCCACCGGTATAAACACTGAGTTTCGGTCTTTATGCTGCGCTATACTAAATAAGTAAATGTTCAATCATTAATGCCAAAACTTATGAAAATTTCCCACCGGTGGTGAAATACCGCCGATGGTGAGATTCCCCACCGGTGGACAATTTTCATATATATTGGCATTATATGGCCCCTTTTGGCCAAAAGGTCTGTGCTTTTATCATAAAAATTAGCATTATAAGGTATAAATACTGGTATTATTTTCACCACCGGTGGTAAAATAAGTTACTACCGTTGGTAAAATTACTTTTGAAACATTTATCGCCCCATACTAGTCGCTATGTATGTCTGAGCCCTAGGTTGGGATTTGTATTGAGTTCTACTTTAACATTTTTTATAAACATAACATAGAGAGTTTAAATAGATTTGGTAGATAAAGGTAACAAGCCTACCAATGGGTTCTAAGACTATCCACAGGTAGGAAAGAACAATCTATGCAAGGAATAACGACTTGTAAAGCTAAGATCGATCAATTGCTAAAACAAAATACCCCGACAGAAAAGCAGAAAACCAAAGACTGACAGAAAAGCAGAAACGCAAAAACTCCGACAGAAAAGCAGAAAGACAAGAGCTCGCACGCATGAAACAAAGCACAAAAGCAAAAGGTAACATAAAGCCTTTGAAAGGTTTAAGGAGGCTGTAGCCCTCCGAACAGGGTTCTCTGCCTCGCTGTTCTCCCCGTTCTCCTACTCGACTGACTTCCTGGTGGATGAAGTTCTAACGGGGCGGTTTTCATTTCCTAGGTCATGTTAAAAGAGTGGTTGTAGAGAGGAGTGGTGGAGAGGGCTTACAATTTATTGATAATACTTAAGGACGTGATGAACTACCTGTGAAGGCAACCGGCCAACGGCAGTGGGGGTTAAAATGATGATTGTCGAAGTTATTTGTAAAGAAAAAATGGTTTAAAGAATCTCCTCAAGAGGAGTGCTTGGGAGGTTCTTCAGAGGTGAGAACCATGTGCGAAGACCCTTTGAGAGTTGGCTTCTCAGGAGGGCTGATTTGAGTGTAAGCTTGCCCATCATCTCCGACATAGCACTGGTGTTGTTGTTATTAATCAAGGTTTCTGAATCTTCGGTGGGGAGGACCTTTGTTGCGAACGAGTTGGAGAATTTGACCATTGCGAATTCGATGATTCTGGCAGCGGTAGCCTTTGCCTTCAAAGAGGCCCTTCTGGTCGTGTTCTTGGTCTTGGGGGAAACCTTTTTGGCGTTCTTGGTTGTAGCGACTTTGGGTTTGGGAGAGGCATGTTTAGGCTCTTTTCGGCGAGATAGGACCTTACGCGAGCTCTTAGGGGAGGATCGAGAGGCGGGAGATGAAGAATTACGGAATACAGGAGTGTTTGCAATCCGCGCACAGGCAACCTTTGCGGCGAGTTCGAGGATAATTTGGTCCTGCTCGGTGTAAGTGACGATGCTGGTTGGATAGATGGTCTCTGTTGACTCAATTTCCAGCATGAGATCAACTGGGGCGGGGTCTGCATTGTCGACGTAGTTGATCGCCTCGAAGATTGCGGCGTCTTGCGCATCGGGTAGGAGGAGGAGACTGATAGAGTTTTGATTTTCTTTAACCTTGGAAGCTCTCTTTTTGGTGACGCGTGCGTTTCCGTGCGACTTTTTAGTTGAGCCAAGAACCTTATTCCTGGATTTTCCGGTTAGGTTGGCCTTGAGGAGACCGACTGAGCTATGCTTTTTTTCGACCTTTGTTGCACCGGCCTTTCTTTTATTGCTTCTTTTCTGAAATGTATATTAGCGCACGGTGGTAAATTATTATAGAAGCATTAAGAACATACAGCTTTGGATCTAAGATTTGTGGAACGTTTTACGCCCTCGCACAAGGCCGGGGGTGATGAACTGGTACTGCTACTCATTTTGATGTTGGTGTTCTTTTTTGCTCGAGAAAAAAAGAGTATCTCGATATTTTGTCGACGAAAAAGCGTTTTTGATTTTTCGAGAAGAAGGGAAAAAAAGAAAAAGACTTTGTCGGGGAGGAAAGTCGGTGATTGGTTAGAGGAAAGAGCTGAAGCGAAAAAGCGAGGAATTTCAAGTCCTACGAGGAGTAGTGGCGCGGGGGAAGTTGATTTGGAAAAAGAAGAGGAAGAATGGCAAAGAGGGAATCTTGGGTGAATTATGACGTAAAGCGTTGGAGCTGCTTCGATTTATTGTTCGAGGTTTGTTACGAACAGAGGGATACTTGAACACTCGGAGGTATGAATACACCCAGGTTGAGTCAAAAGGGGAGCTAAGCTTGTGTTAGGAATTGGTGAAATGGTGAAGATCAGGAATAGGATTGGTGGTGTTGAGGAAGGTGATTGTGGATGAGTGGGGGGGTAAGTGTGAGAGGTCGCGAGTTCCGTTTAAATACATAATTTACTTGATCATGATTGTGGGGGGCTCTTGGCTAATAATTCAGATTAGGCTAGCTCGCTTTCAAAAGTACGCTAGCGCGAAAAATGCGTTGAACGAAGTGACGGGTTATGGGGGTAAGAGCTTATATCGCTCTCTGATTGGCTATTCCATGTGAACCAGCAACCCTAACCCAACTATTTAATACTTGCGAGACCGAGTTCCAACTAACTCACGTGACGCTAATTGTTTGCTTTTTTCTCTGCTCACAGGTCATATGATTTAATTGGAACTTGGCCTCACGAGTATGTTTTCGACTGTACGCTAGAAGGCAGTTACTAGAAAACAATCCAGGGCCTTCGTTCAGGGCATACGACTGCCTCCGGGCCTACAGGATCTATAGGGTCAGAGTCTGGGGGTGTCGTGCCAAGTAACATGTAACCACCAACCTATCATTACCCGGCTAAGCGTGCGTTATCATTGGTACAAGTATCTCTCGAGATCTCGCTATCCGAGCTACTAACTTGAAGTCAATGACGGATGAGGATAAAGAGGACTGATCAACAAAATATCATTAACTTTAGTAGAGTATAGACCAAAGAGCTCAAACCCTTCTAGCATCTAGCCATATGTAGAGCAATAAGTCCCATCGACAGATACTCCTATGCTGTTGAAGGTTAATGCGAAAAGAGATGTTCTTGAGGTCAACTATGTACTATAGGCGGATAGTGATACAGGATACCTTGGGGTTTCTACAATCTCTAGCTCATTTTTACACAATTTAGGATCGGCGCGACCCATTACTTCTCGCGGTAGTCCTGATTTCTCCGAACTATGTCGCTTTGTTAAGAACAGCAGTTACGTCAAGTAGTATTTGGAAAGCAGGGATATGTTACAACGTGATTGGTTCACACAACGTCATGTCTTGGCAACATAATAACACATACTCTATGTATCTCGTTGTTGGCGCATAGAAACGTTAAACAGGATTACGACAAGACAGGAAAGAAAGCTTGAGATTTAGGTAGAGTAGAAGAAATCGCCTATATTTTTTTTTTTATAAATCGTAATATTAAAAGTGCCAGTGGAAATCGTGCTCGTTGGTTGTGATCATTGGTCTTGGCGGCAACCAGATCAGTGGAAGACATACATACGAGTGACAACTCATGAACGAGGTAGGCTATGGAGTTACGAGTGATATACCATGAACCGCTGAACAGTTCCGCGCGACGGAAGTCCATATGGTCTTTGTTGCAATTACGAAATTTATTAAACAAGCAGAAGTCATGGTATAAGTATTTGAAGGTCAAATTACAGATATGCGAAGGGCATGTATGTCTAATGGATATCAAGACCTTCAGGATCATTTCCACCTGAAAAGTATCTTGAGAGCTTTATTTAACATTCCTATGGCGGGGTGCGTAAGTAAGTACTTGTATGTGTTGTCTCTACTATACCGCATAACGCGAATGATGGGGAAAAGTTATAATCTGTTTTGGAATTCCCTAATAATAATATGTCGGGTTCCTTAAGTACTAGTACTTAGTATACACAATCTCGCGGTATTCTTAACGAAGCGTCATGCTGCGGGCGTGATATTGCTAAAGGTTCAAACCCACGCTCAGGTGTCTTTTTTATTCTTTTTTTCGAACTTTTCAAGCCTGATTCTTTCACAGCAGGAGCTCACTCTCGCCACATATACAACATGTGGATCTCTGCACATCTAGAGCGCCTGAGGTTGAGCAAATCGCAGTGTTCTTTAGAGGATCCGGGGCTATTCTTGGAGTCTCGCGATCTTGCCACGTGGAAGGGTGTCTATATCTGTCCTGTATTAGTCATAAAGACTATAATAAGCCCACCCTCAAAAGCGAGTCCAAGCCCCTCCTTTCAACGGGGTGCGTGGCCGAGTTGTGAACACTTGGACTTCTGCAAATTACCCAAACCCTGTCACACCGTGCAGGTGGGCTCTGGACGAGATCACGTTCGGTCCCCCGCTCAGGTGTGTTTTTTTTGTTCTAGTCTTTTTTATAATTATCTGGATCTCCATTCTCATGCGATATTGAATCTTTGTGGCTCTATGCCTCTAGAGGACTTGTTGTCGAGTAAATCACAGCTTTGTTGAAGACATTCACAGCTATTAGCGAGGCTCATTGAGGCTCGAGATATGGCCACGTAGAAAAATGTACGTAACAGTCTATATTTGTCCTTGTATTAGTCAGAAACACCCTCCTAGGCTTGCCCTTAAAGGGCAGCGCAGATACATCCTTTCAACGGGGTGCGTGGCCGAGTTGTGGACACTTGGACTTCTGCAAATTACCCAAACCCCGTCACACCGCGCAGGTGGGCTCTGAACGAGATGATGTTCAATCCCCCGCGCAGGTGTGAGTTTTTTTTGGTTGTAGTTTTTTTGTAATTTTATGGAGCTCCATTTCCATGCGATAGTGAATCTGTATAGCTCTAAGCCTCTCGAGAGCTCGTTGTTGAGTAAATCGCAGCTTTTCTTTAAAGAATTCACAGCTGCTCTTGAGGCTGATTGAGGCTCGAGATCTCGTGATCTGGCCACGTAGAAAAATGTACGTAACAGTCTATATTTGTCCTGGTATTAGTCACAAAATCCCTCCTAAGCGTGCTCTCAAAGGACAGCAAGGACACACACTTCCAGCGGGGTGCGTGGCCAAGTTGTAAACACTTGGACTCAGCAAATCACCCAAACCCCGTTACACCGTGCAGGTGGGCTCTGAACGAGATGCGTTCAATCCCCCGCGAAGGTGGGAGTTAACAAACTTTTGCAACTTTTTTTGTCGGTTTTTATAGCTTTGGAATGTGGTCTGGGATAGGTGTATGCCTGTTTGTGCGTTGTAATTTGACTGGTTGTTCGTTGTTTTATTGCTGCTGGGTAAAATGTTCTTCGAAGCGTGGTGAGGGCGGTATGGGTTGTACACCTTTGTGTAGTAGCTATCCCTCACTCCCCCCCACCTCTCCCCCCTTGGGTTGGTTCCTCGTCAGAGGTCAAATTGCGACTGAGGATACAGAATCCTGACTGACATTTTGTTTCCGGAGTAGTCGCCTGCCCAAAGGAGAACAGAAATGTCACATCTTAAAAGCTGAGAATAACAGCTTTCAGATACGTAAGGTTGTGAGTAGTGGCCCACGAGCGAGTGCGTTAGACGATCATCCTCACTTCGCAATCGAAACATCGTCCAGCTCAAACGTGATCAGCCCGGGGCATCAAGGAACGCCATCGCTTTGAAGCTCGTCCCGTCGATTTTGGAGCAATGGCGAAACTGATTGAAGGACGGGCAGGGACTGTTGGTAGTCAAGAGGAATGGTGTTAGGCCGATGTTGAGCAAATTGATTTGCTGAAAAACAGTACTCGTCGTTCGTCGTTGCCCAAAACGACCCTACAGCTAAGGGGCGGGTTGATTGCAGGTCTGCTGTTCTGGAGGCGCCTTTTAAGTCAGCTTCAATTTTCTGGTATTACTGTCGACAATGAAGGTTTGAGGGGTTGTTTACGTTTGGGTCTGGGGATAGCAAGCATTACTGATTAGCAGACCACATTTCCTTCCTCTAATTGTCGGGCATGATAAGAATACGAAAAGGTCGATGGTCACCCGATTCGTGGAAGGTCCCTATGTGCTGGTGGTGATGGTGCTGGTGATCGTGGTGGTGACGGTGAGCGGAATCACATTCAACAGGCATAAAGCTGTTCCTGCAATTGCTCCGTCGAGGATGCAGAACACGATGGGAAGATAGAAAATCCTATTGCTGCTTCATTGGGACCAGGTTCCATCCAGCTGTGATAATATTTCACATGCTACGTCGATTTCATCCAAACCAAGTCTAGCTTGGCGCATGGCACCATAGAATGGACGGCCGCAAGCTCCCCCACTAGTGCTAAGCTGCGAGTTTTCGAACACCTTCTGACCTTCCCCAAATTCAAACCAACGCTCAGGAACACCAACAACCAAACTGGCAAGCGGAAATAGAAATCAACAAGCCTTCAATGGCGACTAATCTCCCCTTTCCACCGCACACACCCGGCGCCCAGGTGCACCGGAAGCGACGCTACACCTGCTGCACACGCAACTGGAGCTGGACTCCGAGCTGCCCGAGAGCTTCGCGCATTCCTGTTGCTAGGCAACGACTTGCTCGCCGACCCTCGGCTGCTCCTGCCACAAGGGGAGCAGCAGCTGAAGTCAAAACGGCAGTTCCTACCACAAAGGGAACGATGGTTACTGCGACGGTTAAGAGACGATTCGGATTCAACGCGGCGAAGAAAGATACAGGGGAATTGAAAACTGCGCCGAAAAGAGCAGGCGAGCATGAGAAAGGTTGTATGGCTTCAGGTCCTGGCCCGTGCAGTGTGACGGGGTGCTTTAGCTCGGTGTCAAAGCATAGAGCGAAGTTCGAGCACCTGTCGTCGCCGACGGTGGAGAAGTCGCCGGAGATGAGGAAGGTGCCTGTTAAGGTGAATAGCCGTTCCTGTCTTTCTTCTTTACTTGCATATGGCAGGTGAATTGAGGAATCAAGTTTCTAACATAAAATGTTTTGTAGACGTACTGGGTCCGCACAGGAGGGAAGAAGGAGGAAGTATTTTTCTGCCTCTCTACTCATGAGAACGCAACAGTGCTAACATCTAGCAGGAAAACCGACGCCCTGCCCCACCAACAAGAACAAAGCTCCCAGCCCCAGGCCATCGAGCTGCCTTTATCAAGTGCGAAGGAAACGGCCACGGCTCCATCGGCCGCCGCATCCGACCTGCCCTCGCCGGCCTCTTCGAAACCGGACCCCCCCACCTCGAGCCGAACAACATCCCCAGACCTCCCCCACTCCCCCTCAAGGACTGCCGTCTCGCCGCTCCACCACCTTCCCCAGTCACCGCTGGGAGTACACTGCGCGCACCACAGCCTGTCATCACCGCGGTGCGAGCAGTCAACGCTCCTGTGCTCATCCGTGAGCAGGAGGTCCTCCGGCGCCTCGATGAAGCTCACCTAAGTTCGCCCGTGTTTCGCTGCGCGGGGCCGCGCAATATGAATGACTACTCCGAGGGCGAGCTCACGATGACGTATTTTGGAGATCCCGAGGAGCAGGAGGAGTATCCGCAGCGTGCGGGGATCAGGAACTGGGTCAAGGGGACGTGGAAAAGTCTAAGGCTTACTGGCGGTGGGGAGGAAGCGAGGGTGATAGTGCTGCCGAGGGGATGGTTGGAGGAGGGGGAGTAGGTGGTCCTGGTTTGATGCTATGGTGTACTATTCATGGTGCCGCGGGCGGTGTGAGGAATGGTGGCTCTATGCGTGTATCTTAGGAAGGATTGTGGGAGTAGATTTTACATGGGTCGCAAAGCTGCACTGCAAGTTATTTTTTAGAGCAGCTTCACATTGTGCTTTATTTTCCCAGTAGACGAGATAGTCGTTGTAGATCAACACTCACAATAACTAATACTAAAACACCCCCAAGTTTGTCAAGTCTGAAACAAGGTTCATTAGTTTTGACTTCAAAAAAGCTTCTGCTCTCGACATTCCTAGAACCCATTATGCTTAGGCTACATACTCACAGACTATCACTCGTAATACCCCCACCTGAACACCAGACCCATATGAAATCCCACAACACGTTACTAAGCTGAGCATTATAATAGATTTGTGGTATCTATAATTCTCTTGCATTATATAGTCTGAACAGTCACAATTGTTTTTAAACTTGAGAAATGTCTTCACTGGTAGTGGACGGGTAATCATGGGTGATACATGTTGTATTCTATCTTTGAAATCGGTAGGTTAAGGACAAATATATTATTTTCTTTAAATACAAGTACGGCCATTTACCGCCAATGAATATTTCCTCGAGAACGCTACTCGACGATAAACCCAATTCTTAACAGTACCTAATAGTTCGGCAAAGGATATAGTAATGGCAATCAGAACACCCCACCACCCCTTCTGCAATGCCACACGCACGGAATGATCTGACTTAACAGAGTCTAGGTCTTGAAAGAACGGGAAATAAACATCGCACTTCCTTTTGCGATCAAATTGTTTTTTCGATACTCGGGTGCCGGCAGGCTCAGTGACGGTTTCTTGCTTCGATCCTGGTACGTATCAGCTTGGCGCGAGTGATAGCTTGTGACTGCGTTGCTGGTTTGATTAAGATAGATGGCTGCGGGCTCTATCCGGCGAGCTTGAGATATTTATTAAGTTGTAATTGAGAAGGAAATAACAGGCTGCGGTACTGGTGGTGTGTGGTAATCGGTTTGGTGCCGCAGATGAGTGGGGGTTCCGGATGTCGCAGCTCGTGGTATCCGCTGGCCGGATCTTCGGAAGGGACTACTAAACCCTGGAGAGTTACTTTGGGTATTGGAGGGGTGCCTCTAGTCGGACGGCTAAGAGTGATCTTGTCATCTGCACAGCCGTCTTACCTAGCTCCCCCTGATCGTTCGGAAAAATCCGCCCTCCCCCCGCCATTGAGGGAGAAACAGCGAAAAGAAACGCAAGAGCATCGCCTCTCGAAGCAAAATCAACCGTGCTGGCACAGCCCGAATCCTCCAGGAGCTTGCATCGCCCTAAACTACCCAACAGATGCAGCCGTGATGTATTTAAGTCCAGGCTAGCCTTTTTTTTGTGCCTCGGGACTGCGTTCGGGGCGAGAGGTAAACATGGGGTTCAGAAGGTGATGACTAGCTAAGAGTGCGCCTTCACTGTTGTTCTTGGACGTATCGAGGTCGGCCCGCGCGGATTGAAACTGGTTATGTGTCTAGGGCTGATATAGCAAGCCCACCTGGAGCTTAAGAGTACCGTACGTTTATTGAGCATCTACAATCGAACTTGAGATTGCTCATTTTTGAGTATTGGAGGGAGCGGATTGAAATAAAGTAGGTGTTTGAGGTGTGTAACTTAGGGAGGGCTAGATGAGGTAGGTTAAATCCCCTCATTTTGGACGTTGCTGTCGGACTTGGCTATATCCTCGTGTAGGTATCTGGTGAAGCTTCCAGTAGTGGGAACGTATTGGCCCTTGATACTTAAAGAGGCCTCAGTGGGTTTGGGGGGGGGGGGGGGGTGGAGAGAACTGTCGTACAGAGGCAATTAGCGAAATAATAAAAACAGTGGGAATGGATATGCTGTCAAGTTTATCATATGCATTATATCCCTTGCCTTGCCATGGCTCACATTAGGTTCTGATCCTACTGCGTGGTTTGAGGTTAGAAAAGACCCTGCTGCAGAAACCTGACGGTCTTATAGGTACTAGAGAATACTGGAAACGGTGAGACGGATGAAGCTTGATGTGACTTGGGATTCGAGTCTCTAGTCCCGATGCTTTGCTCAATGGTCTCATACAAAGTAGGTGCAATTAGTGAATAAGGTCTTTCTAATAATTGGTGTATTTCTGGATGAAGTGACGTTGATCATGCGCCTAATATCAAGGATATTTGTGAATTGAACTGATAGATTGCTGAGGCAAAACAAACTCACTCCTGAAAAGCTCGTTCAGTGAGCTGGTTGTAGAGGATGCGAGCCAAATGGCTGGCGGGATGTGGGACTGTTCTTCTGGTGGGGGGCTACTCAACCAGACACCTAAAGATAGGGCGGGTGACTAAGCCACATGATTGTCCGCATCACCCCCGCGGAAGAGTATGTAATTCTAACCTAATTAACGTTCGCGGAAAAGAGGGAACCTGACAAAAGCTTGGTAAAACATTGGGGCTCATGTTAGTAAAGAGACTTTACAACATTTATCCACAACAACGCTCCGAGAATGCCGGTTACGTTCGCTGTCGCCATTGAGCATCCGGAATGGCTGCGCAAGGCTTCAAATTGGATTAAGACAGGGTTTCGCTTACTTACATGTACCTTGAGGCAGGAACTTAGGGATTGGAATAATGATCATGAGCCATGATTGGTGGATGATAGAAATCTTTAGTAGGGTCGTTCTGAAAATGGGCTGGGAAGTCTCTTCCGCTGGCTGAGTTTTATATCGGGCGATTTCGGGCATTGGAACTGAGCAGCAAGGCTACGATGCGGTGAGGAATATACTAATGTATTGATATTAACTAGATGATAGAAAGATGCATGATGATATATTAATGGCAAAGACGCCAGTATGTGATAGCGGATGGTTTATGCGACAGAAAGACGACCCACTCTTAGCAACGTAATATCGACAAAGAATGATATGCCCTTGCCCTAAATGCCGCGCCCTTTTCGGACCTTGGAGAGTTAATGAGCGGAAATTGTGTTTGATTGGTTCTTTTCTGCTCCGCCGAGAGCGGTTGTTGTGTTGCTCTGAGTCCAGACCTCAACTAGTTGGTTGCAGTGTCTGATGATGAACCGCATCAGGAGTTTTAGCCGGACACGTCAGCAAATTTCGAAATCCCCAATAGTGGCGTGCTATGGCTATACTTTAGGCCATTGAGACACGCTTTCCTATCTCAGTAGCTTAATCGCAAGCCACGCTTGAGTAGGAAGTACGGGAATCTGCGTAAAGCAGTACCTATCAAAGCCAGCTGTCACATCAGTCTTTCACCACGTCAGCGCTGCGTCGGTGCTGCGGCCAATGGGGCTATATAAAAATTTGGGAAGCCACCATGAAATCTTCAGGTCTGACAGACCAAAGTCTCAAGATCTTTGCTTTGCTGTCAATTATTTCGTTTTTCTTATGTCGATGTTTTCATTGAGACGGGATCGAAAATTTGGATAACAAAGAGGGAATTGAGCCTTCTGGAGGAGGAAAGGGCGACTCTCGACGACTCTGTAAAGAATTTTTTTCACGGGGATTAGGCGGCTTTCGGCATCTGTGAGGTCTTGGCGGCTATTTTGGGCGAGGGGAGGTGAGACGACGACCCTGACTCCTGTATAATTGACCACTTTTGCCCCCCCCCCCCTTTTTTTTTTTAGCAACACTCGATTTTAAAGGGATCAAGACGAAAAAGCGAGGAAAGATACTGAACAGTGTGAACAGAGTAGCCCTACTAGCTACTTTGCGAGTCATATCGGCAGTACGGATGAGTGAAAGGGGTCCGACATTCAGAGTTTATATCGGTTAGTCATTACCAACAACGCTAAAGCAGCACTCTGTCACCAGAACTTTCGAACTTGCTGATTGGCTAGATAAAAGAGCCCTAATGTTTATACCTCAACGGGGATCCACATCTGCAAATGGCATGTACCAATAGGCGTCGACAATCAAACAGGACATAATCATGGATTCATCCATCACTGGAGCGAAGTCTCGTTACTGGCTGAAACAACACCGGTGGAGAGAACCGAAGATTAGGGGAACGGTAGTACGGCCAATGCACCCAGATTCCAAGTTTAACGGGCTCGGCAAGACGATATGGAAAAGCCACATGGAGCAGAGGTTTTATGTGTGGTAGCTAACGACCTGTCGCTAGACAAAAAACACAACCCCTGAAGATCACAACATCATGAGTGCGCTCTATAGCTATTAGCCAGATTTCATACCAGAGAGACGGATTAGAGGCCTCGATAGCAGGCCATCATCAGTCTGCCTTCACCCTTGCAAAGAAATAGCTCACCAGAGGGAATAAAAGCGCTCAAGAGCGAAATATCATGGGTGCGCCATACACCATACCCAGCGGCCAAGAGTCTCTCTTACCGGAAGAAAGGACCCGGCAAGAGCGAGAAGGCTGTCATGAGTGTCAGTAACACGCAGCGAAAGATCTCCTATTTCGAAGGGAGGAAAAACGGTCAAAAGCAAACTATGAGGAATGCAACTTCATCATGGCAAGCTAGAATCCCTCACTGGGTAAAAGGCAGAGAGCATGGAAGAATCTCTCACCGGGTAAAGAGAAGGAACAAGCAGGAGTAGGACGCTTCCGCTGCTGGATGTTCACTTTAATGGGGACTAAATAAAAGATAAGAGCGGATGAGAGGAGACAAAACTTGTCTTGTCTCGTTTTAAAGGAGATTTTCTCTTACTTAGAAGAGGAAAGGAAGCCGTCAGAAGCGAAATAAGACGAGTGGCTCTGTAGCTGGCGGCGTAATATATTTTGTTGTGGAGAGAAGAAACAGCGCTCAGGTGCGGAGTAAATCTTTGCGCTAATAACCCGAGGAGAAATATGTCTGACCTGGCGGAGAAAGGTCAATGCTCAAGGGTAGAATAGTACTGCCAATGCATCTTCACTTGTGATAAGGGGACGCTAGAGGATAAAACCTGACAAAACGATCCCAGAGAAGACCTACGGCGGCTCATATATACAAAGTACAGTTTTGGCGAGGGTTGGATTTTGGCGGGGCGCTACCCAGCCCTAACCCCAACCTGACTTTATCTAACCAAAATTTGTGGTTCTGGCTCGTTTGATTCGGGGCCCGAACGCTAAACAGCCTTGAGGGTTAGCCTAAATCGTGGAAAGACATTTGAGGGCTCGTAACTGAGCAAGATACAGAATCCTGCAGGTTCTAGACGTTGAGAGTGCTGATAGTGGGGAAATGGTTGCCCAGACTAACATGCTCAAGTGCACGGTATCACTTAGTGTTGCTCGGGCGGTTCGAGAGAGTGTTTCCGATGGTTGGGACTGGTTCTGAGTTTAGCCAAAACTGGACTGAACTGAATTACAATAACTGATAACTGAACTGACCGAATAAGAACCGGTTCAAACTCAAAAACGGTTTTGAAATCTTGGCACAGATCCACTCCGAACACTACACCGAACATGTTCAGGGTTAGGGTGTCTCCTGGCGTAGGGTGCTCGTCCGTTATATCAGCAGCTCCAACCGCATACGGTTTAATTTCAAGCTGTAAAATTAACGGAAAGGACGAAGATGAACCAAAGCCACCCGCTAAACGGTTGTAGGGAACTCGTTTGTGTGGATGAGCGACGAACAACTGGAAACGATGTATCGAGCCCTAATCTCATCATATAGCAGGAGAGCCTGTGCCTCGTAGGGGTGCTGGATTAGACTTACATACTGTGGTCCACCAGGCGTCGACACTCGAGGCCATACCTCGAGGCCTCTGCCTCGAAAACGTTCGAGACATAGGGGTCTATAACGCGAGTAGGTATGCTCGACGTGAACCCCTCTGCTCTCTCTCATTTGTTCGAGGCTTAGGTAGCCATGCTAGTATTAGGTGTATGCGATATTAGGGTGTGTTGGACACACTCGATTTTCAAATTTCGAGCTCAAATTCTGAGTTCTTGGCGGCGGTGAGACCACCTATGCTATGGTAAACACGCATAGTGTTCTTTCTCTCATTACGCTCTGTAGCGTGCGATATAACACTCAATATAAACATTGACAGAGGTTAATGGAGTGCAGGTGGGTCTTCCCCGCCGCCAAGAACTCAGAATTTGAGCTTGAAATTTGAAAATCGAGTGTGGCCAATACACTCTATTGCCTATACTGTTATTCCCGGATTCCCCAGTTCAGTCTCGCCAAGAGCTATACGGAATTAAAACCTTTTTGCTTCCCTTAAATTAAAAATCAGCATTAGCCCTTCAACAGTAAACTCTAACATTGAGAGGTCTGAGTATACTAACAATCTGCCTCGAGAGGAGCTCGAGCACCTCGAGGTATTATCCCTGTTTGTACGAGCAAGTAAAGACATGGAAGATACGGGGTGGAGGTACTCTGCCCTTTTCTAAACCCTGCTTATCCGTCAACCCTGCTTATCCGTCAATCAAGCTGGACGTTATATACTGTTCGTCTACGTTGAGGTCCAAAGGCTTCAATAGTTGGCGGACTGTCGTCGTTTCCCCACCATTACACCGTGGTTCGGCGGCATAGTATAGTTGACTGACTATTCTCGTGCTGTTCGTCAACGGTACAGCATCTCAATCTACAGGACCGGAGGGGTAGAAGTGACTTTGCTCTACCTCTTTTTTTCAAATCGACGGGTAATCTGAAGGCTCCAAATAGGGTAGTCCACAGAGATTGATGTTGAAGGCAAACCAGTAGAGACAAACCAGTAAAGGCAACTGAAGACATTGGGGTTGATGAGGCCAGCATCCTCGAGGCGAGCCGTCCTACTCGTCGTTCAGGCAGTCTTGTGTTACTCTAAGAAGAATTTTAGTGACATGCCATGCATCCAGGAGGGCTGATTGATATCTCCGAGAGAGAGCCTATACGTATCTTGGGCTAAACTAAATTTTATATTCAGAGATCAGCCTGGATGACTGGCCGAGGAGCTTTGTTTGGAAGGACACCGCCTTACGAGTATTTAGACGGTTTACCAAAGGGTATAATTGGGCGGAGACATGCAACGGGCCAAACGCTCGCACAGTTGGACCTTGTCGACGAATAAACATGGTTCTCCTACGGGGCAGAGGCACTTGTCACTCATCGCCTCTAGCAGCCTGGTGAACCACCCACACTAAGGTTACAACGAGGTGTAGCCCACCAGGCTGCTAGGTGTACCTTCCGCGCGGCTGCTTTATGGGCACAATTGGTCGCCGCCTGCCCAATGTAGGGGTCACTAGACAGATGCGTCGACCATCTCAATACGTACCTCAAACCTAGGGCCACCATAGGGGGCAGAGAACATGAACGCCTGTGGGCTTGTTTCAGGAAGGATGAAGTCCGTTATAAACCTAGATGTAATCTGAGAGATACCATTTAACGCGATCGACACACCTAGATACAACATAAATTTCCCGCCTAGAAGGACGAGAAATCTATTAGGGTACAGCACTAACAACAAAGTGTCAGCCCGGGCAGGCAGACAATAGGTTTGATAGTACGCACAACACTTCCTACTCAATACGATTAGGACCGTACTGCCTCCTCGTAGTGAGATGATTCGTTGTAGTTGCTAATCGCGTACATGCATCTGGTGAGGGGTAGTCTGTGTCTCATATCTGTCGAAGAGGACACGAGCCGTTACAGACCCTTCATGGCTCTAACAGAAAATGGGCCACTTGGTGCCCCAGTGTCTGGGCCTCATCACAATCTACAAGGATCCAGCCGAGGCTTTGGTGCTGAACATGCCGTTGGCAGCTACAAGTTATCCCCTGGATGTATGAGAGAGAGCAAATGTCTCTTACAGTAGCGTGGCCCATCCAGCAAATGGTTGACTTAGGTAAGGTAACGAACTGCGAACTCTATGGCACCACTAAATATTTCATAGACCGACAAAGGCAGCAAGTTGCTTACCTTCACGTTTGCTCACCAAAATTCAATGTCACATGATGTCCATGCATGAGAGAGATTCCCACAATTTCTTATATATCCAAGGGATGGGCGTTGACTTTCAAAACTAGCTTACTGAGAAAGAATTCAGGTCAGCTAGGAAACCTTCTGGCTAAACCGGCTCACTCACGAAACTTCCTGGATAAGCGATCTTCCTGGGCGAGCTGGAATAAATATCTTTACCTACTGGGCCTTTTACATTTTCCCATAGACCGATAAGAGGATTATATATGCAGGCAATCATAGATGTCCAGCAAAGCCCAGGAATTTACAGCACATTTCGAGTCATCATCAAATTACAGGAGTTCCAAGGCAGCGTCGAAAGGATATTATTTTCTCCTCGAATATCTCAAGGTCCTTTCAAAAAAACCCAACACCAAAATGTATAAAAAATATTCAAAGACTCTCATCAACGAATACAAGACATCTCAATAAAAGAGAGCGACAATAATTGAATAAAATAAAACAACATGAAAATAAAAATTGGGCGTAGGGGGAAATAAGTCCAACAAGACACTATGAGCACTCTATATCATTGCAGCTTCGACTCTGAAAGTGTTGAGTAATCGGAGATCGCGGGTGCTATCGGAGCTCGATATGGCTATACCCTTGCGAGAGCCGTGCAAGGAGAGGGAGTGCGTGTATTCTCGATCTTTCGGTCCGCGTATACTCAGCTGGACATGAAGATGGGATACCTGCCGCGGGCGGGGGTTCGGGCAGCAAGATAATAGTGGAGCTGTTTGTCCCATTGAGATTGCTGTATATCCCGATAATATTTGGATAACACGTACTAGTTATTCGGATTGTATCGACTGTAACGTATCTTCTTCAGTCAGAAAACAGGGGGTCTTTGCAAACATGTCCGCCAAAAAAAACTCAGACCTTGCTGGTTAAGTTATACGTACCGTATCGCCAACGCCAAATACTGAATAATCAAATAACAAAACTAAGGTGCACTTTCTTCGCTAGTTCAAAGTTTTGTTGGGTGTGTTACTTCAAAGAAACATCTCGATCATCTCCAGTGCGGTGATATTCGGTCCAATCAGGCGGTGATTGTGGGGGAACAGGCAGGGAATGGCGGGGAATGGCTACTGCGCGAGAGGCGATGGGAGCGTGTGCTTGTGTCGAAGGATGGTGGGGGCGGATTGGTCTCAGGAATCATCGCGGTACCAAAACGTTATCTCAGACTGGCACTAGCCTTAGATTTGGAGTTGATCTTCGGCTAGTAGCTCACCCAAGATCGAGAACGGATTGGTACTGTCAGACCCTTGAACCTGAGGTTCCCGTTGATTTCTTGCTGACTCGCACTTGGCGAGCAGAAGGCTCTCTTCGGAAACCCTCCCCTGGCATCCACACATCGCCTCCGGGCGGAAGGTCTCGATGACGTCGAGGAAGATTAACGATTCCGACGCGAGGAGAGAACTCTCCCCACGCCAGCTCGACGTCACACTTTCCAGATTGACCACCGGCCTCGAGATTCCCTCAGGACATCTGCCGATCGGCAGGAATCTCAGCCGGTCCTTCCTGCTCAATTCCTCCCATCCCTTCCCTGCCCGACTAGTAATCGGCACCGCTGTAAATGTTCCGTCCTGGTTGACGTCCAATACTAGGTATGGACGTCTCTTTGCAGGTTGTGGTGACCAGGGATTATTACTCCCAGTGACCTTTCTCTGCTCAGGGGTGAGCACAGTAACGCCCTTGGTTGACATGTAAATATCCCCTGGCCTCACAACCTCACGCCAGGACGGTAACAGGTGCCTAGTGACTACTATGGGCCGCGTCTTGGTATCGGGTTTCGAAACTTTATGGGAGCGTGATTTGGACATTTTTGGAGAGATTTGGTGAATTAAAAGAGAGTAGATGATCAATCATAATGGTGAGTGGGAAGGACGTATATTATAACAGAAGTTTCTTCATTATTCAGAATGCCGTCACGAAGCACCTATACCTATTTGGTTATTACCTATAAAGGCTTGTTGTGGTTTCTCGAATCAGCTTTCCCACAACCTACCTTTCCTCTATTAGATGGACGTCGAATGGAGGCAAGCTTCACCCTTTTTTCTGTTGTAGAATTACCAACTATAAGCTTCTGCTCTGATATTAGAAGTTATTAACCCAGTCAGGTATGAACATAAGCGATGTATTGGCCGAGTTTATTCGAAAATTGCAAGAGTTGAACTGTCCAAATCCGGAGATACGGATGGTAGGGTGATGACAACATTTGACGGGCGACGAACCAATGACATAAATGGAATCCAACAAATGGAGGATGACGTAATACAACTAAGGAGTTTGATGACCACGACTGGAATGAACTCGGAAACGTCAATTTAAAGACCACGATATCTCCCGACGGCCTTCTTGCTGGTCTGATGGCTTAGGACGCGGGGCTCGCTCCGTATCTATCTAATGTAGGTTTTATTTATAAAAAACACTTAGTAACAAATACTCACGTCTTCGGGTTTTATTTCAATCTATAGAGCATTTCTTCTAGGGCTACTTTAATTCCATTGACTTCCAGAATTCTGTATATACGATACATCGCATTTCAAGGTATTTTGTTGTTTTGAGGGTTATCGACTAGCCTAATCTCCCATTGAACACCGACATCCATTCATAACCCTCTTGTATCTAGTAGAATAGCAGAGGTCAGGGACGAGTTTCGCAAAAGAATACCGATGATTCTTAGGGTTGGGGTTCGACAGTTAGACGTTAAGCGCTAGGAGGATTGTACCTTATATTAATTAGGCATCTAAGGTGTTAAACCCTGACAGGAATCACTACATGGATAGACGCCTCCACCATTCACCAGGACACCCTCCTCACCCGGACAGTTGATAGTGATTGGTTGACAAGAGGTATAAAAGCCAGTTATAAGGTAGATCTTCTTGTTGTTATGGCAACTATCTGGGTGAGGGGGGTGTCCTGGTGGGTAGTGTAGTCGCCTACATGTGGAAATAATAAAATCGAGTGAGATCCTATGACTCGGCTCGTGTTAACATTCCTCCAGCTACATACATGTACTTGTGAGAAAAAAGGTCTGTGCCTTTCGATCTATAGCTACATACATGTATGTACACCCACAGGAAAAAAGTGAGGAAACAACGAGTGAACAAAACCGCGGTTAAACAACAACCATGACTTTTGAAGGGAGGCCGTACAAGGCATCAAATATATTTCAGAGGCGGCACTATATACTCTCTTTTTCATTTTATTGTTCAAGTACTTCTCGTCATTGGGGTTGGTGTTAAGTGTAGGCGTTGTTTCCTCAATTTTCTCCCGTGGGTGTATATAACGACTGGAATTCGCATGCTACGACGTAGCAAAAAAGACGGATTTAATATTATGTTGTCGACTTAGGTCCTCCCCAAAGTTACGCATGCCTTGATGGAAATGCCGGAAAAAGATATATTACAGTACAGCTCAAGAATTGACGCGACTCACGTAGATGGCGAAGCATCTTTGGGTTGCAAAACGAGAATCAACAAACATCACAGCCCGGTGAGGACATTTATATTTCGACAACAACATAGATGTGAAAGACAATTGTGTGCCGACGAAGCTTGAGAGTTGTTGGACATGTAGCACTTCTGTGTTTTGAAGGAAAAGAATCAAGGAACGTGTCGTTTGAAAAAGGCTTTCCGTTGCTGTGCGGGACGTGTCCATCTTACATGTATTTTTGCAACCTGGCAATATTTCATAGTACATGTATATGTATTTAGTATAGTCCATTGATAGATAAAGTGGGTGGCCTCCCAATAGCAAGCTCACTACCGCTACGGAAACCTGGCATAGAAGACACCAGGTGGTGTGCAAGGAAAATGATAATTGTTCATTATATTTCGTGAGTTATGTGTTCTCATAAGTGTTCAATTTTCTCTCTGGCGAGGTGTTAGAATAGTGTTTTTTTACCTATAAATAAGAACTTTGCTTCCTCTCCTCTTCCTCTCCCTCATCGAGCTCATAAACATCGTCACTCGGGGGCTGAGTCCGCTCCTCGCCTCTTTACATATGGGAGTGGGCCATCTTTCCTCTTGATCCTCATTTCCGGCCACCGTAGCCATAAATCACCTCAATCAGGTGAACGGCCTGCAGTCCGCGATTCAGAGCGCGACTGAGCCCTGCATAAAATCATTAGCTGTGAGCCCAGAATCCTTAAAGCCCAATCTCCTTTCAATACTCAAGCGCTAACTGCTTATCCATTGTTGTGACAGTGCCGGTGCCCGCCTCCTGTCGATATCAGTACCATCTCCACAGGTTCAATACAGGCATGTGAGCATGCTCGTGCTCAAGCCAAATACTCATGGATCATCATCTGTTCAGGTAAATTGTGACCCCAAATAAAAGGAAGATTTCATGTGGCTTTACTAACAGATCCCGTTACCTCTCTTATCAAAAAATAGATCTCCTATATAAACTCACTTACCTTATCATCGGGTCAACAATCAACTGTCAAAAGGTATTAATACAAGGGCACGAGAACTCGCCCTAACGCTAGAGTCATAATCCCCTGTCACCACAGCCTGCCAAGAGACGTCCATACCTAGTATTGGACGTCAACCAGGACGGAACCTTTACAGCGGTGCCGATTACTAGTCGGGCAGGGAAGGGATGGGAGGAATTGAGCAGGAAGGACCGGCTGAGATTCCTGCCGATCGGCAGATGTCCTGAGGGAATCTCGAGGCCGGTGGTCAATCTGGAAAGTGTGACGTCGAGCTGGCGTGGGGAGAGTTCTCTCCTCGCGTCGGAATCGTTAATCTTCCTCGACGTCATCGAGACCTTCCGCCCGGAGGCGATGTGTGGATGCCAGGGGAGGGTTTCCGAAGAGAGCCTTCTGCTCGCCAAGTGCGAGTCAGCAAGAAATCAATGGGAACCTCAGGTTCAAGGGTCTGACAGTACCAATCCGTTCTCGATCTTGGGTGAGTTACTAGTCGAGTTGGCTGGGGATATCTTTTCGCCGACAAAATCGAAAACCCGGCTTACCTATGAGCAGAGATAGCTCACGGGAAGCAGAAATTCTAGGTCGCCGCAACCTCAAAAAAGACGGCCGTACCTCATCTTGGCAAAGCAGGGTGATGGAACGTTTACAGCGGTTCCAATCACTAGCCGATCCAAGGTGGGGTGGAAAGGTTTGAAGAGGCGGGATCAAAGGTCCTTTTTGCCCATCCGAGATCGTCCTGAAGGGATATCTCGACCACTAGTCGAGTTAGCGGGTGTTACTGCTGGGTGTCGGGGTGGTACCACCCTGCTTACCTCAACCTCGCTGCTCTTTCTGGATGTGGTGGAGGTGTTTAGGGAGGATGATATGTGCGGATGCCAAGGAAAGCTCACCGAAGAGGGCCTAGTACTTGTAATGAGGGAAATGGCTAAGAGACCTGGAGTTACGAACCGGAATGGGGGCAGCAAGCTCCCTCCTAGACGCGTTTGCCGCGTTGATGCAACTTCAGCAGGACTGATCGTGCATAACACTGTTAGATTGTGTATGTCATATTCTTTGTTTCTTTTCTCGCTGTCTACACTTAGTGCTTTGAAAATCAAATATGTTCTTTTAGAAATAAAGATTATTTTCAACTTAATCTACAGGGAAGGACCTTTTTCTATTAATGGAAAAACTCGCGTCGCCTTTTCAATAGTTTAACTACAGAGTCCCATCTATATAGGCTTCAGAAATCTAATTCGTGAATTTTTAAGGCCGGGGAGTTCTTATGTACTAAAGGGAAAGGAAGGGTCACATTATTTTTCGCCTTCTGCTACATTGATTTGGATTAAGTTTAAATTGGCCATGGCTCTAATAAATCACTGTTTATCGATTTGAGCAAGGGAGATGTGATCCTAGTCAGAATTAAGGCGCTCACCCACCACTGTATGTACTCTCGCCTTATGTTATTTTTCGTTGCAAGAGATCATTGCGTAACTTATTATATGTGTCGAAGCGGCGTTTGAAATATAATAACGTGTTATAATCAACGTTTCACAATTGCAAGGGGGAGCGCGTCGCACCAAATACCAACCAATCCTTTGAAATTATTTGATACATACATAACTCTCAACATTTGGCATCTAAAGAGTAGCATTTCCCGCATAGGAATGAAATTGGAGAGTAATATCAGTGGGGCTGAAAAGAAATGACTCCCCGTGCGACACTTCCGCTCAAGCTAACCAGACCCTAGAGGTCAGGTCTCCGCACATAAGATATATGTCACGTCTCAAGCCGGTATGAGGTACATATATATCTACTAGAAGATGATGGGGTGGGCAAGCTACAAGAAATCTGAATATCAGAGCTGTGAAAAACATCTAGCCCTGTTATGTGAGATCATGATTTATACTGGAATTTGCAACCTAGAGTCGGATTAAAGCTTAGCGGTAAAAAGGTGTGGTGAAGATCAAGTTGTCCGAAATCATTATATATTACTTGTGAATCTGGGATATTTACATGTATATACATGTATGACATTCATCTCCTACATAAATACATATTGTTCAAAGGTCCCATGAACACATGTACAACATATATGAAAGTGATTCTCCTGACTATTCACAAGGATGTATTCATAAATTACTTATTCTTGTGTGAAGATCCTAGTAAGAAGCAGTCCTAGATACGAATACATGTAGTTTTACAGGCAACTGCAAAGGTCTTGATTTTCTATTTTCGCCTTGCGTCAACTTTCTTTAAAAATCAACTATTTACGAAACAATATCATGCCCTTGAAGGTTAGTTTAAGCACAATCTTTCATATTTAGGAGGTAATTGAAATAGGAGGGGTCTATGAAAAGACTAGATCACTTGAAACCACAAAACCTCCTATTCAGCACGTTGTCAAAAAGAAAGTTGAAATACTTCGCATGCTCTTGGTATTCTAGAGGCGAAATCAACGGAATTCAGCGGAATTTTTTAAAAAGCAGTGCTGGGCAAGGCATAAAAAAATCAAGGCCTCTACAGTTGACTGTAATCTACTACACATGTAGTTATCTCGTTATCATCTCCAACCTTTGGTGTAAGTGTGCGGTTAGAGGTTACATCTACTATTATAGGGAGAGATGGCCGGTATGGTATTATGTTTTTGAAATGCTCTCCAAGGTTGCAGATGTATTGATAGCAATATCACGGAAGGATATATGTATGTTGTACATTTTACAGGAATATTTTAGATGCTGTGGCTGGGAAATAGCAGTTTATTTTGTACACTATCCTTGCTTCTTGTGTTAGCCCGACTTTGAATACTGCAGTTCACATAAATAGGGAGAAAACGGAAACTCTATATAATCGGCTATATAAGATAGTTGTTTGAGTACCCTGGAATTCTATAGGTTACCAATTTATGCTTGCGGGTGCGTAGTTTAAAGGGAAATGAGGTCTTTAAATATGACATCTTTCCTAGTCGTGGAACTGTATTTGAAATAATTCTGGGTGGAAGGCCTACCCAGGAGGGAAACATACTTCTCAACAAACCCCATGTATGTACATAGCCTGACAGTTGGAATATCTGATGTGAAAAAGTGACGGAACCTATATTTTTCTTTATCGGCCAGAGAAAGTAAATGTTCTTCATTTCGTTTAAGTGAGTCTAAAACCTTCAATTATAAACCCTTGTTATTATGTATTATCCACCCATAACCCTCTATTGCATCCTTCAACGCTCTAAAGCGACCTGAATGACATCACTGCACGACATTTAACCCTCATTGACCGGAACCCCAATTCTGTCGACCGCTTAACCTTACAATAAGCGTCGCACTTCATCCGCAAATTTCTCGACATCCTGCTAAATTTATTTCCTGCAAGATCCTTATAGACATAATCCCCTTCAAAGCTTTGCTAAGTAATGCCAGATGCAACCTATTCTAGATACAGTTTTTCAATAAACTCCACCGGTTATATTAAGTAAAACAATGAGGAATACTTCCCACCATTATTACCATTATTTTATTTAGCTAGACCTCTGTCTGTTTCTTCCTAAGCATTTCCTGAAAATATTCTTGCAATTATCGAAGATCGTCGGATTTGGTGTTATGATGGTAGCAGGGAAAGGTGTGAAGGACATCGGAGCTTGCTGCTGATATCCAGTAGTTACAGATTGAGCTGTATAGGAGAGAGCCGTTCTCATAGAATCCAATGATGCTCTTGGTGGAGGCGTAATCACACCAACATAATTAGGATCTTCCGAAGTAGTCGCATCCAGGTTGCTCCCCAGAGTACTGGAGGAGTCAGTAGACTCTGTCGACAATGATGGGAACGAGATACTACCATAGCCGGCGACAGTAAGGTAGGGCGAGACTATTACAGCATCCACTTTGGTCTCGAGATATGCGGGCCTCTTTGAGACTGGAAGCGCAACGCTGGTATATTCAAGATCTACCAGTGTTCTACGAATAGCGATATCCCCGCCGTATCCAAGAACCTCCATAGCCTTAGACCGACCGTCCATGAATCTCTCATCCTTCGTTTGTTCCCGACCCCTCGTCGGTACTGTGTCGCGAGCGTTATCTTCCGACAAAAATGAGGTCGACGAAGATGAAGTATTTATACGTCCCCTGCTGCTATTTGGAGTGTTTCCAAGTACTATAATGTCGAGTAAACCCTCTGTTAGATATCTCCTCAAAAACCAACGACGGATTTGGGGGGGGGGGCGGTGTTTACCCAGAGAACTATCACAGTCCACCGAAGAGATAGAGAAACCACTTATCTCCTTACCACGAGCAACCTCATCTCCTCCATTGAAGATCCTTGTAGAGTCTCCTGATTCTTGGGTTGAGCTGAGTGCGGTTTGATGAGCAAGTTGCTTGCAAGCTAGAAAATAAGCAACTGACTGCTGAGGATTGGTTCCTTCCCCAACGAAGCGATCGACGTATCCTGGCTTTTGGTAGAGAGGCCTTACAGGGAATCCATCGTCCAAGCTTTTCTTGCTGATAATATTTTTTAGAGCAGAATTCTCCTCTAATCTGGTATCAACGGATACTGTAACGGTCCTTGCTGAAGAAGTACGATCATTGTTCCATTTTTTCATACCATTTGAAAAGGGCACCAGCTGTAAAGACCCACGCTCTTCTTTCATCTCCTGCTTTCCCGCTGGGGAAGGTTCCATTATCGGAAAGGATGGATTTTTTTCTCTTATGTTTTCATCTTCCGAAAATGGTTGAACTGTGTCCGGAGGTTCTACTACTCGCTGTTTTCTTTCGATGGCCTCAATTCGACTCCTCATCGCATCCGAGATTCTTTTAACCTCATTCCTCGGCGAGTTGACCTCTAGAGCTCTAAACTCCCTGTACACCCCATCCTTTTTCCATCCCGCTCGCCCCGGATGAGACGCTCCCTGAGACCCATCGGAACTGTTGGTGTTCATTGCCGGCGCACGGTTCACAGAAAACATTTTCACTCTTTGCTCCGCAGCTGCTGCTGAGCGGCCAATGCCTGGTGATCGCTGTAAGATAGCATTTTCAAGTCCATCCAATGCTGGAGAATAATGTGTAGATCCGTGCTGAGGTTGAAGCTCTTGGGCCAAGATAGTATGCTCTCGGGCCAGAGGTGAGCGGCGGCTCTTAGCGCTACGTTGAGTTAGACCATCCTCATCGTCGTCTTCTGAAGATAAATTAAGCCAGCTTCCCTGGCCTGAGTTGTTACTTGAATCATCAGCGTTCTCCATGCCGCTGTTCTGGTGGCAATCGGCGTAGGGGGGCTGATGATCCTGGGGGTGTTTGCAGGCAGTCGGGACGTATTCTTGGGAGTGGTTATTAAACGGGGAGGATTGATTGATTTGATCAAAAAATGATGTTTTGGCGTAAGGTGAATAGGGTAACGAATGAGAGAGGCGTAGTGGAGATGCGCTGCTGTGTGACACAGAACTATCAGTTAACATAGCTGTAGGGGCATGTCTGTGCGCTAATGGTGTAGTAAGCCCGACTTTATTCGAATCCTTGCTCTTCCTTACGCCCCTGCTTGGAACTATATCCGGAATATGGGCAGAACCAATAAAAATGTCGTACGAAGGGATTATGTAATTTCCAGACTCGTGAAAGAGGTTTTGTGTCCGACCCAGAAGCTGTTCCTGAAGCCTTTGATGAAAGTCAATGGTGTTCCTCCTAGTTGTGGGTGAAACAAATGAAGGGCCAAAGTTTAGAGAGATCACATCTTCCGTTGTTCCACCTTTCATCCACTCTATCAACTTCCAGGCTGCATTCGTCATGGTTAGGCGTCGAATCTCATCTTCTGGGGTTTCCAGTGAAGGATAATTCTTTGGGATGTTCTTTATCTCCCCACCTGTGATGCATTCCTCTGTGGATACCTCTATTTCGACAGGTCGTTCGTCGTTCTGTGAGCTACTAGGCGATCCTTTTTTCTGATCGAGCACATCAACCCGCAGGAGGTCGCGATCCCCCGGGTCGGAGTGATTTCTTTTGAAAGGTTTGTGACACATCTGCGCAGCGATATCTGATTCATACCCTTCATCTTTCTCAAAGTCCAGTTCTACCGCTGCTGGTATATCCCCACAATGCCTTTCTAGCCTCCTAGCCTGCTTTAGCATATTCCACACAAATATTGCATCAGTGATGTTCAATCGCCCGTCAGACCACTGCAGGAGATTGGTGATGTTCTGGACTGGTTGAGTATGTTCAAACAGACCCCTCCGTTTAGGTGGCTTGGAGGGAGTTGGTTCAGCGTCCGCTACCTTTTCTGCAATTGCGTCCAAAGTTCCTTTTACCTTAGGTTCCTCGCAGGAAACATGGATGCGGTTCAGGTCATCGACCCCAGGGTTCTCGCGAGGCAAGGAAAGAACAATCTCTGGAACCTGGATTATTGTACGGCCCAAATATCCATAGTGCGACTCAAGCAGAACCTGCTCGTCATGGGCCATCTCCCCTCTGGTTGAACAGTCATCCTTTCCTTCGTGTACTGATCCTGGAAACGCTTTCTGGATGTTGCTGAAGGTCAAAGGTATGTCAGAAGCGCCTCGCTCCGCTATTTGGTGGATAATATCTAATGAAAAACCATCCACTGTGGGGGGCTCCACGGGACCGTGGATGAACATATTGTTGGCGTAGAACTTTCTTCCACTGGACCGTTTGTGTACATGTTGAACCTCTGGAAGATCATGAATCCAGCACCAGATACTCGATTCCTGGTCCTCGTGCATGACAACAGTGGCGGGGACTAAAACGACAAAGTAGGCGCGTGGAGTATGTTGCCTATGGGATGGGAGTGAGGATGAAAAGGGGAAGACGGGGGGCTGATGTATTGATGAACTTGAGCCACCGTGTAGCTCTCAGGTCAGTAACGTGGGGTGTGGTCCGATGCCCCCCAACGATGGATATTGGTTCGCGTTCTGATTTTGGGGAAATCACCCTAGGGTGTGTTAGTGATAAATTGTGTGCTGCAAGCCAGCACACTTCACTTCTATCAAGACGTTAACATCTCAAGACATCAGTGAGGGAAAGTGGACCCTTACAGGACGTTATATTGTCAGAAAATATTTATGATGGCGTAAAAGACTGTGAAAATCAATATGTGAGCGCAGATAAAAGAAAGGCATCCAGGACATACCAACCCGTATGAAGTCACCTTTATTGACGTTTACCTACATGCATGTGAGTTGGTTACTTTGGCGTGACCTGGAAGAGCAGCCACGCGCGCTACTGTACATGTTCTTCTGGGTGACCTGGCCTATGTTTTGCCATTCTATTGTGGTTAGTATGTACCTCCTCGGTGACATGACACGTGCCTAAAGATTGTAAATCTGGATCCGGCTGAATACGGTCTTTGGCGTGATACTTGACCAGATGAGCAACATCCTTCTGTACAGGCTTGGCCTTTTTGTGAGATATCCCGCAATCCAGACCGATTATTATGGATTCACGTTCTCCGATAGCCTTATTTACGTGGTTGGGGGCGGAAACAGGTGTGATGTTGATGAGCCGAACCTTTCAATCAAGCCCATCTTCTAATGAGCCGCAATGCCACTCGAGTCCCAAATACCAGGTTCGACACGATCAGCTTAGTACGCGCATACCACCTTCGACTAGAGAGAGGCAGAGATTATAACTCCCACTACAAGTATCAACATGTACGTTACATACATGTATTTATGTGAAGTCGGCCCCGAACACCCCGCAATCTAGAACTACATGTACCCCACACACGTACACATACACCCACAGAAACCAACCAATATATGCCAGTTAACCTCACGCTCTGTGCATCTCTCAACTCCAGAACAAGTAAAGTGACATTACATTGCGTGCTCCAATATAAATATCGGGTAAATATCTCCTGTACCACAAATATCATTATTAAACACTTGCATGCTACTAACAGGTCTTATAAAACATGAATTTTAGATAAAAGAAAAGTCGGATGTCACGGGCTTTAATGAGTATTTCAATCAGTCTCGTTCAAAGACTGCTTTCACTCTTGATACATGCCGTTGTCGACGAAGTATTGCCTTACGACCTGGCAGCTCTCAATTTTAACAAAGCTGAAATTGAATAATGGCCCCCCGCAGTACTACAGCATCCTCTCCAGTCTATCCTTCAAGATTCCCTCCAGCAGAGAGCGGGAAGTCAAATTTATCGTTCGTAAGAGTAGATATTTCTTTTATAGAACATAGAGGTTTAGTAGAACGTAGAGCTCCTAGGATCCTATCAGCAAGGTAATCATGAGCTAGGCGCATCATTCTTATTCATTAAAACAATCTCCCATAGAAATACTTGTAGAAAATTGCAATAATAATTCGCTTGACTGTTTTCTTGTGACAGCTGGCAGTACTTCTTGTCTTTTAGTCCAAAGCTTCAAACCTTTTCTGAGTGAGATCCGAGCCATTTTTCATCAATGACCCCAGGGCGGAATTCCTTTGCCAAATATAATTTATTCCAACCCTCCCTTTGCATAAACTAACTTGGCCAATTAAATTCGAATCCATCACTCACGCCTCCTTCGAGTCTCTCCTTTAGCTCTTAAGTCTCTAATGCACTGAGATTGTATCGAAGAGTCTCGTCGGAATTTCGGCAGACCCCAATACAGAACGGAGAGAAAAATACGCTAATCGTCTGATCTCGCTTTCTATCACCTTGATACCTATTATATAAAATAATTTTGGTTAGCTCACATTGCGCTGACCATGTTCTCACTACATGGGATGGCTTTGAACATACTTTAATAATTACGCAAAAAATATTACTTGCTCGAGTGGATAACATAAGAGAAATTTATGGCCCACTCAGGTTCGTAGTTCGTCTCAAGTATAAGCGTTCGCCCGTAAGGCAGGCGCTAGTGCTCGGTCATTTCCCCCATAGACAACGGATCCTCGTTCGTCTTTGGCAGCCTAGAGGTCTGGTGTCGACTCAGTCCGGTCACATTAGAATCTGAAACATGTAAACTCAGTTCCACCATCACAATAGCTTGGGCTGCAAGTAATATCAATCAAGAGGGTAGGTTGGAATTCTGTTCCCATGGGTTGGCCTTCCCGAACTCGAGGTGAGAACCGTGGACGTGATATCTGATCACATACTTCATACCACCTAAAGATTGTGCAGATATTAGAATATGATTAAGAAGACAGTGATTAATGGATAAAAAATACCTCTTTATCAATCTAAAAGCCTGTTAAAATTGTATCCCATCATTTCCCCCTCTCCCTCCAACCTCAAGTAACAAAAGCAATTGCCATGACTACACGCGCTTCCTAAACCCCATTGCTAACACAATCCTCCAAACCAGGATGTAGAAGTTGTAAAGCCTAAGGCAACACGCTAATAAGCTCCAAAGGTAGACCGAGCATGATATCTCTTTTTATTTGGAAAGGCTCGATGCCTGTTAACGTCCTGTTGAAAGAAAGCCGTGTTGAGTGGAATAAGCTTCCAAATTGCGGCGTTTTGTAGAGTAAATGCCGCAGTACTAGGCTAAAGATGATATAGAAGATGATCTTTATTCAGAGTCAGATTTAATTGCCATGTAAGGGCGAGGGGTGAAAACTGACTACTCTGGAAATGGCATGAGTAGAGCTTCCCGGTGAGTCTAACCTCAAGCACTGCTCAATAGAAAAGGTCTTTTTATTTTGTTAAATATCCCAGCTTGAACACTTAATATAGGTAGTGCCCTGACTTACAGTCAGATGTCGTACTACATTCGTCTCTCCACACTGTTCTGTACCGGCTCTTGTCTGAAACTCGAAAGTCGTTGCTGAGAAGTTGTAGTGTTGCGGGCCAAGAGAGGCGAAGAAGAGTTCAAGAAACAGCCAGATTCCCTCAGCTCCTATCCCACACATCTTCACCGATCTTCTAAAGTGCCTGAAGCCGATGCTCTTCCCAATCCACTCCTCGTGCTTATTGTGTGGCTAAAGTAACACCTACAGCACAGAGATTAGCTCAGTATCCTTATCCAGGCGTAGCTACTACGGTCGAGAGGGAGTGCTTACCTGAAGTGGCGAGAACACACCGAGCCTGCAAGCTAGGGCTGTGCTCTGCGAATCGCCGGAGCCCGCTCATCTCTTCCTGCCAGAACGCCGGGTATTGACCGGGTGTTGGTTCGTTACTGTAGTTCCTTCAATCTCTCTCGGCTGTTGTGATGTAGGCTAGAATGCGTGAGGTGGGTTGGGGCGTGGCAGAGGTTAGTGTTTTCGACGCGTCGGTTTGGAAAACTGAATAAGTACATGTAGGCGGGGGAACTATTCGCGTCATAAAAAGAACAGCGCTTCCTCTGGCTCTAGAGTACCCAGCAAGTGCAAATGAAGGTATATCTGGTACATACACGTTTCCTCTCTTATCTGCTCATGGTTGAGCCCGCGTGAAAAACCCGTTTTCGAAGGTCCTCTTGTCAGCTACTGGAACACTCGCCAACGCGAACGCTGGCCCAAAGAACGATTAACTTGTCTTAGAGATACTCCATACGACGGCCGTTAAGATCGGCCACGGTACTACTGTTTGCTGGTGAGACACACGTAAGGCCAAGAACACGTGTTGTTACAATTATTTGCGCACGGACCATAAACATCACGCTAGGGACCTCAAATGCCGCTAGCCGTGTTAATCGATCACTACTAATATTCGAAAATCGCTTAGCGTGTAAGTCAATAGTAATGGTAAGCATAATTGATGCCGGTTTTCAGAGTAGAGATATACATGCTCTCTTTGCCGTATTTTCTCTCACATATGACTTTCGGCTATATAGTAAAGCTCACGTGAGAAGGGAAGCACAACAAGACAAGATCATAACGTGAGGAATCAGATTTTCTTTTTTTCTTCTCGTTTCGATTCCTAGCATTTTTGTTTCGCAAACAATTCAACAGACTGAACAATTGCAACTAACTAACTCACAAACAAGGGTAAAACAGTAATGGGAACCAATTCCCGAATACTAACTCCCAAAAGACCCCCTTTTTAACATTTTGATCCTTGGGCCCTTACACCTCACTGCGTTTTTAAGTGCTTGGCTCGCCCGGCTTTCTGCGTTGTGGCACTTGAAAAAATGGGACCCTGTAGAAGTTAATGAGAAATATTGACAGAGAATATTAATTTCTTTTGGGTGAGTATTTACCTATCGAAAAGGCTATCCTCGATGAACTCAGAAGATGACAGACCGTGTATCCCGGGCAGCGGAATATCCACTCTCAAGTTGGCGACCCCGTGACTGACCTTGGGTTCATCTTTGGCTTGAACCACTCCCGAAGAAGACGGTTCATTAGATGCAAGAGCTCTACTCTTGAAGACTAGTCTTTGTCGAAACGGGGGTTTGACTGGCTTGACACACTCAAGCACAGGCGTTTCCAGCGTCATCAGGCTGGCTTCTGCGCTTTCCAAACGTGGAGTAATTGTCTTGCGTTTGAGAACATCAGCATAGCTGGGCTTCTTTGGAGTGATGACTGGAACGACGACGTCCAAAACAATGATCTTGTCGGGGGCGCTTGTGGTGACTATTGCAAGGGTTTCCTCTTGAACGTTGTTACGAGGCGCCACGGTAAGCGGCATTTGGACGTCTTCACTGGACCTGATCGGGAACTCCTGCGCAGGGAAACTTCCAAAAGTGATAACTCGCTTGTGCTGGTTGGAGTCAGTGTCCCCCGCGGGAGTTGAATCTTCAATCTTTGACATTATCGGAGACGAAGGAGGGTCGCTATCGATTGGTGAAGGAGGCATCATATTGGGATCCACGTGTTGACTTTCCTTGTTCTCATCCTCATTGAACATTTTCAGTTCCTGCCTCCAGTTGGAGACTTCGACATTTGTAGACTGGATATGCTTGTAGTATTGCTCAGCGTCACACTTGTGGCAGCTGTCCTGCATGTTCCTTTCCCGTGTTTCCCCGATTAAGCAATCTTCTGGCCTAGATCCAGGAATGTTGGGCATCCAAAACATCTGATTATCCCAATACACATACACGCATCCGCATGCAAAGCTATCGATGAACTTCTGTGTAAAGGGGACGGCACGCCCTCCAGCCGCAGGTCTAACAGGGCCCGAAGACATGGTTGGCTGTAGCCAAAAGACATGTTAGAATCAAGCTGTGAGGAATCAAGGAATCTAAGGAACTTACGGCAGAACCGTTTCCTTATCTCTATATACTCGTTTTGTTAAGAGGGTTTAGCTTGGTTGATAGAGCACCGTGCTGCTCAATAAATCTTTTTTAGATAGTTTTATCTCTTTTCTTTATCTCTTCTGTGTTCCGCAGATATAAAGGAAGGTTCTATTTAGATGAGAAGTGTTAAAAGACTCTAAATGATGATGATCATGACAAAAAAAGAACGAGGGAGAAGAAAAAAAAAGAGGGGGGGGATTGCTCAATGGAAGGGCGTTTTGTTTGTTTACCTTCAAGACGCGACAAAACGTGATGGTTTTCTTAATTTTGAAAGAGAGAAGAATTTAGAAGAAAGATATCAAGAATACTGTATCCAAAGACGAAGCACCAAAGTGCTCGTCCTCGAGAGTTACGCTGATAAGTTTGATGACTTGATTCGATGAAAAGGTACAATGAGGTGAGGATGATGAGAAGGAGAAGAAGGATGTTATTTTTCAGGATGAAGGGGGGTCATATATATAACACTACCTTCCAGCTTTCTTGGCGAACCCCCTCTGTTTCCTAGAAAGGTCCTGGTCAATCACCTACATGTATTTCACCCCCATTTCGCCATAGAGTCATTAACGTTGCTAGGTACCTGGGAATTACATGTACCAAAGGGTTTGGCAAACCATGGAGAATCTAATAAAATAACGCATAATGAGGTATTTATTCCTTTAGGAACTGTAAATAAAGCTTTGACAATAATTTATTACAAGTTGTCGAGTGGCTGTCAAGGTGCCAATGATTATAAAACACCGGCCATTCCCCTCTAAAGGCCTCCGATTTTGGTCGCTCTGTGCTGCACACACAATTCATTTGGGTAACTACCCAACGTAAATCAATGTAGGAGCCTACACAGGACCCTCAGCTCCGATCCTGTTGGTGCTGGGCAAAAGGCGCACACATAGAATGAGCAAAGACCCACCCCTCGGGCAGTAACCCTATTTCTTGTAAAATTCTTTTCATACAACAATAACTCTTACCCCCTCCACCTCTCCCACTCCCATCCACGATTTTGGATTCTTGGAATCTATTATTTCATTACATCATGGCGGGCAATTTCAACTTCAATTTTGGCCGTGATCTATTTGGAAAGAAACCATTGCCTCAAAAGTCCCCTCTGGCTCTCCGGTTCGTCCTTCTCAACCACAACGAAGACGAGGTCGGGAACGACCCCGAAGAAGAAGATGATGAGGACTGCTACGTTTCTACAGGTATGTGATTTTTATTCATTGTTCTAACCTTCCACCCCAATATTAACCAAAACCATAGATTCGGAAGACTATGTCAACTCATATGAAAGGTTCATTACCAGGAAAAACAATGACTCCCCTCCTGCCTCTCGCCGCCGCAGCCATAGTGGTGCTGTCTCTCGCCCGAAGTCTGATAGTCCTTTTTATCTCACTCCCGATTCATCTGCCAGTGACTCACGTGTATATGGTCAAACTTCTTTAACCCTCGATCAGGCTACTAGTATGTCAATTCCAAAAGACTCCACCGCTTTCAAAAAATGAACTGACATCATTAGAACGTTATCGTGGAGGCCAGAACCCCGAGGGACCTGAAGCACCAGGATCAAGAGCTGGCTTTTACAACGTTCTTGACGCAGGCCCAAACAACAAGTCGCATGGTCGTTCCCATTCTGTTGGCGATATCCTGACCGTCGCAGCAACCGTTAAAGCCCTCCCCTTTTCGGGTAATGGAGGTGGGCCTTCTCGTAAGTTTAACTTTTAATTCTCTTAATTTCTTTCTTTTCCTTACACTCTATAGGTCAACCCTACATGAAGTTTGAGTGTAACCGCCCCAGGACGCTCGCTCAGATGAGAACCGCGAAAGCTAGAAGGATACCCCCTCCACCGCCACTCTATCAGGATAGATCATTTGCCCAATCCTTCAAGTCCTTCTTTTCCTTTGGGTCGCCCAAGGCTCCCTCTTCGCTGGTCACTTCGCAGTCACTTGATGTCCTCCCCACTATTACGGATGCTCCCCAGAAACAATCTAGCATCTACTCCCGTAGTGGACTCAGTGCTCTCTGGAACAAGGTCAAAAACATGAAGTTTGCGGGGCGTTGCTTTGGTAAACAGGCAGTCGTTATGGCTCCTAGTCCTATTTTGAAACCAGTTCCTTCGCCGCCACGGTTAGGAGCGGGCTTGGAGGCTTTGCAACGACGGAACTTCAATGGCATCAATGTTGCTACTAAGGTTCCACCCGTTGACTATGATGAACTTTTTGCTTCCTACGGCGCGACATACGTTTGAAAGATGATCTGGGATCTACCTACCCCTCTCGCGTGAGTTTCCTTTCGATTATTTTACATCAATCAATATTAACTTACATCAACCTGATATAGTTTTGGAGAAGATTTCATCTAAAGATACGAGTTCTCTTTTTGGGTGCGACGTGTGTGTATGTGTGTCTGTGTGTGTAGTGTGTTGGAGGATTCTTGTAACTATCCGGAAGAAACATTTGTACATGAGGTTATACATATAGGAAGCGCCAATTGAGTACAAAGTTTTATTAAGATTAGTTTCAGACCACTCTCACTGGCAATTAAACTCAAGTAGCATATCATTTAGCCCACTTACTTCCTACCAAATAATGCTTTCCAATCGAGTGATACCTTGTGAGTAGTAGACTAGAGGTGGGAATTATTAGGATCGTCCTGTTTGGGAATCGCGCCAGCTTGGAGTATGCGGCGCGGGTTACATAGATTCGGAATCGGTCGTAATTTAAGTTTCGCTTGGCGGCAACTAGTAGCAGATAGTTCGGGTTAGCGTTGTGTAACTGTGAGTAGGATGAATGTCGGTCTGGGCATCATTCCTCCTAACAGGTCATAGTACACCCTCTCATCCTATTGAGTCTCAGTCCTTGCTCTCAATTCGCTTCTGATACCTCAACTTGACTGGGAGGTTGATATTCTTCCATAAGGTGATATTGATGAGACAGACATGTTTCCCATTAGCTGTGATGCTTCATTCATATTCCATGATCACGTCCCTCTTCTATCTCTCTTGCGGATTGAGGACAGAATCCTTCTTCACGCTATAGTATTAGCTGCATGCGATATCCTTGTATATCGACGGAATTAATGAATTCAAACACTGATATAAAAAGAAACCTTCCTCCGGAGAGTTAGACAGATGCATTTTTGTTTGGTTGCTGTACTTTACTTTCATTCAATCATGTAATGAATGGGCCTGATCATGTATTACGATCTCTTTAGTACTCTTATATCTTTTCGGTGTTAGTTTAAGCAGTTCGTCGTGCTTCAAAAACAGATCAGTACCGTCCGCCTCCGATTCATTCCTACGTATATACTCTGTCCAAATGCTATGGATATACGGGTCGCAGTTAGGACGGTATCATGATATCTTTCCATTTTTTAATTTCAAAGTGAAATGAACAGGTCGAGAAGAACCTGGGGGTCTGTGATTTTCTAACACTTGGTTTATTGAATGGGAACGCAGCAATCTTATTCTCAGTTCTCAATTAGAGGTGTGTGGATGTGCTCAATATCGAGAGCAGCTGCCTCTCATTACGGTCGACCTCCACTGGCTATAATTAGGATGGTATGAATAGCTAGTAAATATAATCTTGAAATTTCTTAATGGTCTTAATTTTATGGCCTGATATGTATGATTGCCTCAGCGTAGATAATCCCAAATAATCATCCCCTTTGATATTGCTTCTCAAGAGCATTTATTTTGATACGATGAGCAGCCTAATTCTCGGTCCGCTAATCACCGAGCGTTCCTGCTGGCATGTTCTACATGTATCAATCCCAAACAAATTTAAATCGGACCTCCAAGACACCAAAAACGCCAGGAGTTTGTTCCTTGGAAGAAGAAAGACCCTGTTTTCGAAGTGAATCTTTGCTCATAGCCACCTGCGAAAAGTATTCACAGGTATCCCAGCCCTCCTGTGAGTTGTATCGGTAAAAGTGATTTACTTTTATCAGCCGGCTCCAGTGACAATCCCTAGTTGATCAGCCTAAGACCAGGAACCAAGGTGGAATTGTGGGTATATACTTAGAAGTGTACAAACAACCCAGACCACACCTATTTCTACCAGCTTTTTTGAACAGTAACTTTGTAACAAATGATGTTAGTCTTTACCATATTCAGTTTGATCATTCCTAAACATACTAATCCTTTGCGGCGTGCACAAATCCGGTCCAAATCATCCAACTACCCAGAGCAGGAATCCAACCAAACGTGAACATACAGATCATGATTAGTCGTCTTCTTCTTTTGACAGTTTTCAGTCGAGCCTCCATGTTATTCCCATCCCCAGTGTATTGCTTATTCAACCTTTTTCTGATCCACAGATATACTGCAATTCCAAATATGCTGGTGGAGATAGCAATCCCATTTATGTAGACAAACGCACCAGTATACATCAATCTCGTATATGGATCCGAAGCTCTCGTCGTTTCACCTCTTCCTACACCTGCAACTGTACCTAACAGGTATATAGTAGGGATTACTCCGATTATCTCCAAAACAATCTCCGAAGCTATCATGGTGAAATGGCTCGATTGGTAGTTTCCCATCCACATTTTTCTGTCTTTAATAACACCGAGCTTTTTCATCACTCTCGCAAAACACCAGGATACCACAATAGTAATCCAAGTACCTCTTGGCCTTGCTAGCGACATAAGGATCACGGCATTTAGCTTCAAAATCCCAGTGTTATAAGCCAGGTAGGCTCCAACCACCGTCGAGATTAACTCTAGTATAATCATGATCAAAGCTGGAATAAAGACTCTTAGGCGTAAGAACGATTCCGGTTGAGGGATAGAGTCATTTCGTTCGTTCTTCCAGGGTTGCGACAGCCATCGGGGGAGAAACCGAGAGCGAAAGGTCGCACGTCCTAGAATGAAAGCTCCCAGCAAAGTGAGCAAATTGACAATAGCAAAGGTTGTCAGGGATGCGCCAGGGGATGCACATGATATTGCATCACCCTCAGCGAGGGTGTTTATGGTGTTGTTTTGGGCATTTGTATTGATCCATCCAGCGGGGAGAACAACGAGCGGGCGCTGGACCCCTTCATCAAGTTGTGAAGACATTAGACGTAGTGTCTTAATGATGCTCGTGGACTCGCAAAATGTGTCAGATATAGGATTGGTCTGTATTACAACTGATGTTGACCGATCTGTTCAGGGTTTACATAGGTGTCAACCTCGCGCGCAGGCACAAGACAACGCTACCCATTATCTGAGTGGACGTCACCTCTTCCCGTAATCCACCACAACTCAATCACTACCTGGCGTCTCAACATGCCCGTTGAACAACTCAAATGACAGAACTGCGATAAACGGCAGAATTGCATGAGACTCTGCGGAGGAAGGTCCCAGAGGTGGGGTCAATTGCCAAACCCATGGCCGGCCCAACTATAACTACATGGCTAGGTCTTCCAATGCGTGTGTACGTATCTAAATAATTCTAATACTTCATTTGCCCTCGCATTGTTACAGCGAGCACCCCCTGGCTCTCTCCATCTAGTAGCATTGATTTTCTACTCCAAAAGAATATTTACAGCAACACTTTATATAGCCCCAATTAAAAAGAATATAAGACGGCCTCTCTCTCTCTATGCCTTTATCTCCTCCATGGACCCCGATCCCTCCTCAACAACTACTACGTCCTCCTTTCTTACTGTGTCTAGCAGCCTAGATGGATGAAAGATGTTGAAGATCACAAAGCATGGGAACATCGGGAGTGCTTCTAGACAGTAGAAGTAGACCTCTATTTTTTTCTGTTAGTCAAAAGAGCAGAGCGGGAGATCTAGAAAAGGGTATCTATCAGTACCATGTGAAGCCAAATATCCTGTCCAACCTTGTGAGAACTCTGCTACACGATAGCAACTCCTCAACTAACCCAGCATGTGTGTCAGCTTACTCGCGAAGCCAATCTTGGGGGATGGACGAACCATAATGAGAACCGAGTTGGCATATAATGCCCATAGGAGGATCCTCCATCTAGGCCTTCCCGAACCCAATGTCGCCAAAGACCTTGACTTGAAATCGAATCTGATTGTTGCGGCGATAAAAAACCCAAAAGTGACAATCTGCACAGCCAATCCCGTCAACATAACATTTCGACCTGTATTCATCTTTTTCATATTCGTGCCTAAGTCCCCGCCATTGCATTAGCTTCCATCTAGCTCTCTTTCTCGATCGGAAGAAAACACACCACCACTGGCACCACTCATTATCCCCGCACCAATGCCCTGTAGCACAAACGACGTTATATCCCCCGTCAAAAATATCCAAGTGACCCATCTTGCTGGTACCCCCAGGGACCTCGCGTTGCGACCACCGGGGAGGACGATTTCGAGTAGGCGCCCAAAGAGTATGTAAGATGCGGCGGCGATGAGAACAGGGGCTAGGACGACGAGAGCAAACTGCGCGATGAAGAGGCCGCTATTGCTCATATTAGCTAATATTATATCTCTCACGAGCAAGGGAATATATACCGACTGAAGACATCAGCCTGCGAAAGTACACGGGTGGCATATCCGAAGGTTTCCACTATCGATATTACGTTGTTAGTTGCCGTGGGTATAAAAAGTGGTAGGAGGGCAGTACTAAGGCCGGCAACAATGATAACGGAGAAGTACCAGGCGCGATAACGAGCTACCTGGAGTATATGGAGGGTGCATGTTGTGGCATAAAGAGCGGTTGCGATTATTGCGAGCGTCCGTGAGGGGTTGTAATCGTAGTAAGACTTGTGGATTCGGGCTCCTAGGTTGGTTTTGTTAACACACGATTATAGATTCGAAACCCTTCAAAGGATACACACTCGTGACAAGTGTAGAGAATGACTCCATTGGAGCAAGTTCGATTGGGGGTATCGTGTACATTGCTCGTCCGATAGTAGGATTACCGAGTTGGGAATTGTTACTAATGATAACTCAAATCCAGTAACACACCCGCAATATAATCTTCCTAGAAGATTATAACCTCCAATATTGATCGATCTTCACCGGCTCGCAGATGTAAGGTAAGTTTAAGGTTGATGGGAACGGAACGGTACATATATTTATCTACGCCTCCGAACCCCCCGGCCTAACTACCCTTCTCCTTCCCCAGGCTTTTCAACAAAAAGGCTTCTTCTAGAGCACAGTGTGTCATTTTCCCGGTGGGGGCCTTTTTTATTTCATTGTGCTGGACCGGTTTTCCGCTTGACAGCTGCCACTTTGGGTTGCCGGCTGGTTGAGATCCCGGATGATCTTGTAGCCGATTCGATAAGGTTGCTGCTGGAGATGGTAGTAATCAACAAGGCAGCATATAAAGTGGTGAATAAGCGCGCCTAAAGCTTTTTATTGGATGCCACAGTTAACAATACCTCTCACTGTAGATAACTCATCCTCATGGGAGAAAACGAAGAATAATTAGTGCATGGAATATTAATATTTTAAATTTCTCCGCCGAAGTGCCGAGAACGGCACGGATAGGACAGTAACGACTAATTGAAGAGCTCCTCCTCGTATCAGAAGTGTGGAGGCAGGAGCAACTCAGGCAAGCCATGAAGATTCGGTGGGTTCACTGGAGAGAGGTCGGTAGGCATTCTTACGGAAGCGAAGCACAGTCCAAAAAGGGGCCTAGCTCGGTGAAACGGCGATTGCCAAGCCCAAGACACAGGAAACCCGTGACCACAAACAAAGATACATAAATGGTCGAAGGCAGTCTTTAACTTGTTTGCTTCGGGTGCACACATTCGCTTCTTGTATGTTGTTTTCGATTTGCTGTGGTGATTCCAACAAACCTCGGCATGTACGATACATGTAGCTCGGGCTTGGCCGAAATGTATCTGGGGCCGTTTCCCGTTACCGCAGAGCCGCGCCAAAACCCACGAAAAAGAAAGGAAACAGTAAACAAAAAAGTTCTTCGCAGCTGGGTTACCCGGGCGACAAAGGTTTTCAACTTTCCAGCCCACCTCTGACGTGGTGTTTCACACGGCACAACGACGAGTCAATGAGAAATCTTCATTCTCCCCATCTACATCCTCTCGCATAAACTGTAACGCCCCCTCTGTCCTCCATCATCTCCCTCCCAAAACTCATCTTGTCCTCATTTCCTACTGTCCAACCTGTTGACACTCGAGATAGAAATACCCCGCACGTGCCACTCGATATCAAACACCCCGCCCCCTCCTCCGAAAATCAGGTGACCCACTTTATTATCGTCCACTTGAAACCAACCCCCACGATCCACACTACACATACGAAGAGCCCTCCGAAAAAATGTCGACTGGTCACTTCACTTTCAAGTGGAATGATCCAACAGGGGAGGTTCAGGAGGTCTATGTCACCGGAACCTTCGATGCCTGGGGAAAGAGCACCCCACTTGCTAGGGAAGGAGATGCTTTCGTTGCGAGGGTTGAGCTTCCGCTCGAGAAGCACCAGTACAAATTTGTTGTCGACAACGAATGGGTCATCGATCCAGACGCACGCAAGGAATTCGAGGACGGTATCGAAAACAATATCTTGATCCAGGAGGACTTCGAGGGTCACGAGAAACCAGCCGCTACCGAGGAGGCCGAGGATGAGAAGGATGAGAACGAGAAGGATGAGACCGAAACTGAGGCTAAGGCTGAGACCGCAGCGGAGAAGCCTGAGGTCTCAGAGGTAGAGAATGCCGATGAGACGGAAGAGAAGGAGGGCAAGGATGACGGAGAGGAAGGCAGTGATTCCGAGTCCTCTGGAAGTGGGGAGGATGCCGATGAAGAGGAGGAGGACGCGGAGGCAGAGCCAGTTGGCGAGCGAGCCCCCGACCTTGATAACTACGACCTCGCATCCTCCGAGTCCTCGTTCGAGAGTGATGTACCCGAGCCCAACGACGTTGACGCTTCAGCCGTTCTTGTTAATGCCGCCGATGCCACTTCAGACGCCGGCGAAGAGACCACAGAAACCAAAGACATCACCGAATCCACCAAAGACGCTTCTGAAGCTACGAAGGACACTGCCGAGGCTGCTAAGGAGACTTCCGACAATGAAGAGGAGAGCAGCGATGACGAGGATGGGACTGCCCAGAAGTCTGAAAATGACCTCGAGCTTGGTGAGGATGCTGCTGTTACTTGGGTTGCACCCGAAGGGGGTGTTAATCTTGAAGCCCATGCTGCGGAGATCCCCAAGGAGAACCCCCCTACTTTCGCCGAAGTTGTAGCTGAGGGTGTTGTCGAGCCCAAAGTTGAGGAGGTCACCGAGACCGAGTCAGAAACTACGGCCCAGCCTGAAACTGCAGCCGAGCCTGAAAGCACACTTGAACCCCCAGCTGTGGCCGAACCTGCACCCAAAGCTGCCGACGAGAGTCCACTCGAGCCAGAGATCGTCGAGACACCCAGCATCAACGAGAGTGCCGATACCGAAGTCAACGACTTGACCTCCACAGTATCGCCTCTAGCCACAACTGCTTCACTAGCAGCTCAGGTCCCCAAAGAGAACCCCCCCTCATTCGCTGACGTGGTCAAAGATTCCACCATTTCTTCAGCCTCGCCCGATTCGTCCACCGCCGCTTTGGCTGCCGCTGTTCCGAAGGAGGTCAAGTCTAAGGATACTCCCGCTGAATGCCCTTACAACGCCGATGGGACGCCTAAGGCTGCTCCGGTCCCCAAAGACACTCCCGCAGAGTGCCCTTACAACGGCGACGGAACCCCCAAGGCCCTTCCTGTACCCAAGGAAACCCCCGCCGAGTGCCCATACAACTCTGATCGCACTCCTAAGGCTACACCAATCCCTAAGGAGACCCCCGACGCATGCCCCTATAACCCTGACGGTACGCCAAAGACCGCCGACCCCGCCCCAATCCCGAAGGAGACTCCCGCGGCTTGCCCGTACAATGCAGACGGCACGCCGAAAGCTGTCCCAATTCCTAAAGAGACCCCCGCAGCATGCCCATACAACCCTGACGGCACACCTAAGGCTGCGCCAATTCCAAAAGAAACTCCTGCCGAGTGCCCCTACAATGCCGACGGTACTCCGAAGGCCGCCCCTATCCCTAAGGAGACACCTGCGGCGTGTCCATTCAACACTGATGGAACCCCGAAAAAGACCTCACCTGCAGCTAAACCGGAATCATCCGGCACATCTCTTGACTTCTTCAAGAGCAAGCCGACAGTTGTCGTAGGACTGGTCACAATTATCGGATTTGTCCTTACAAGGAAATACCTTTTCGGCAAAAGCCGTTAAAAGGGCCTAGAAAGCGTTTCTTTATCACGGTGGGGATCCGGATTGATATTTTCTCGTCATGTATATGGAAACCGGGGGCAACATTGATGTCACGATTTTTTCCCTTTTTATTTTTTTGTCGCGATGATGCTCGATACCAATTTGCGTGCATATGTGCTAGTTGTCTTCTTCCCCTCAAGCAAGCCAAACAAGCAAGCAAACGCGGTTAATAGTTATCAACAGACCCCAAGAGTTAGACATTTTCTTTTCTTTTCTCGACTCTCCGTCTCTTTTCCTTTCTCTTTGGTCTTTTTTTTTCCATCTCGTGTCTTCTATCTCTTCTTACTTTTTTTTCTCCTTTTTTTTTTGTTGTGGCTTTCTTTTTTATATCTATATCCTAGGGCCCCGAGTATGTAATTGAGGGGTTTCGACCGACGGTTAAAAAAAGTTTTGTGTGGTATGCTGGTTGGTGGAGACGGAGGGGAAGGAGGAGGGGCGGATGTTTCGACCGGGTGAATTGAAACAATTGCCAAGTGTTCATTGTCATGTGATCGAGTGATGCACTGTGACGCTTCGGAGGTGGGGCAGTGTTCAATGTTTCGGCCTCTCGGAAATCTTTTGTTAAAAACAACGGTAGCGGGTAGCGGGAACTGGGTTCATTCTTGATGGCATTGCCACACAATCGTTATTTGATTTTCTATTTTCGTGGAACTTATTAAAGAACGCAGGGCCAAAGCATGGTGTTGAAGTTCATGGCAGAATGTACTATAGCTATATCACTAGAATATCTTTGATCTGGCATTCTCCGTGATCTTTCCCCACCACCCAATGTTAGATGTACAAGTTTCAATTGACGCGTTTCTACCACTACCCACTCATGGCAACTAAACATGATTCAATACTAGTGCTGCCGATGAACATCACTTCGCCCATCATGGTCGTCCAAAGTCCCCTAATCATGTCCAGACATCCCAAAACGAATAAAGCTATAATTTTCACCATGATCCCGGCGCTTCCCTGGCCAACACATCCCTAATATATCTTCCTTTTCCCAGGTACGTCGCTCGGAGTTCAAGTCCGCGGCCAAATATCTGCTGAACTCATCGATGGGGGTGTGGCCGCGGATACGCGCATCTATATAATATAGAAGAATAACACCTCCAGGCTGTTGTAAGATGCACATACTCTTGGCGCGAAATTGAAAGACGGGTGGTGCAGGTGGAGAGTGCTGCTGGTGCGTTTCTTTTTTTCTGGAGTCAATGATAGGGGTGCAGAAAGATGCTACATAGCTTTCCGGGGGAGGCAAGGAAGCCGTATTAGGAAGGAACACGCTTAAAGTAAAAAAGAAAGAAAAAAACATAATAGTTTTGGCAACCCCGCCCTTCTCGGCGTCTCTTTTCCCATATAGCCTTGTCAATAATTTTTTCCAAATTGAGCGAGTTCCCTACCACGCACCGTAAAACCGATCTTCTAGACAGTGCATGTTTGCCGGTATCTGTTCTCCGTGGGGTGCATCCTATTGGTCACCTTGAATTTTATCTTGTCCGATCTCTGCGAGCACAGGCCCGCCCTGAGATGCGTCGAAGGGGAACCTGTAGTACAGGGTGATCTTCCCAAGTAACGAACATACACGACAGCACCCCTTTTGGAAATCCTGAAGATGTTTCGCCTGTTTCCCAGCGAGAACGAAAAAGCCCACAACCACATACACCCGGCAATAGAGCCATCTCCAAGCCCGAGAACCTTAAAAATAAAATAGAATAAAGAAAGCCACTATGTTTTTTATGCATGAGAGCTGTATGCGGATAAGCGTATGGGCTGGAGATACTATGTGATGTAGACACAGAGAAGAGAGAGCAGACGGATATGTGTTGTAGGAAGATCTCCTGGCACCATCCTGTAGAGGCTACCTAGCCGTAGCAAGCAAAAGTTGGAATAAAAGGAGAGGAATAAGGGCTGTCAAATGTCGCGAGCAGAGGTGCCGTGAATCACTTAAACCCACAAACAACTCCGAAAGTAGCGCCAGAGCCCTCAAAATAGATTTCTAAAAACCTGCTCTCATCTTAGCCTACCCGTCCGCATCAGCGAGTATAGTAGGTACATCGCTCGCTCCAGGTGCAGAAATACACCACAGTTAATTAAGTACCCTGCAGTCGCTAACGCGGGTGTGTTGTTCAGACATGGAAAAGAGGGGGCGGGGCATATTGGCCTATCCATCTTTTCCGTATTCGAACTCCAATCTGAGATCGATGGACCGAGAATCGCCTCTTGTGGCTGTAAGTGCCATATATCTGTCAGTCTTTGGGTGCAGTTAAGCAGGTACTCCTAAGATTTTGTTTGGCGTTGGTGCTGGATCTTTATTGTGCTTCCAACTCGCAGGTGAAGGGGTAAAACAGGTGAACGTTATTTAGACGAGAAACGGTTGGCGTATAGTCGGTACGCGAGAGGTGGAGTGAAAGACCAGCGGAAAATCCAGCGGTTCAAAGCCAAGACCATTATCTCTAACCACCGATCGGAGGGTGAAAGTTGCGCGCCGCCTGGCCAAACAGCCAATGCCGCAGACGTGAATTCGCCGCATTGACCGTCAAACCCTAAAATCGTCGGGGATTGTAATACATGTAGTAAATGTGTTACGATTGTGGGGCCAGAGTTGATATGACAGGGTTGTATTGTGTCTTTGTAGTTACAGGCCCGGCAGACCAGGTTAGTGTGGATCATAACGTGTCACTCGTCTTGGCGATCCCTTGGCGTTGAACGTCCGTTGAAGCAGGAGTGTCGACAGAAGCATCAATCAACAACGTACCAACCCACAACATTTCATCCCAACCTATGCGAGCGAGTTTAGTCTAGTTCGACTCCATATCTTGCCAACATCGACCTTTCAATACACGCTCCACTGGTATCGGGGTTCCTACAACTTTTCTCACCGCTCTACACCCCCCACCCCCCACTCCGGCCCCCGAGCGGCGATTTTCAAGTGCATTTTCACAACATCCCACCGGTTCGACAATCTGCAAACCTACTGCGGCGGCGGTTCTTCCGTTTGTCCTATATCGACACAGGTTCTGAGCGCTTCTTCACTTTCTTCATTCTGACTACTGAATGCATACATACTAAATCACAGTAGCCGCAGTGCACTCTGACAAATACTACCAAATGCGCTCATCAGTAACTATAAATAGGCAGCATCCTCTACAGCTCCGCATTGTCTCAACGAAACCAGCCAATGTCCATACACATACGCACTCAAGGATATAACACTAGTCTGAGAAACGGAGGCTGTCACTTTGGCGACTCTTCACCATAAACCTCCGAGAGCTGTTTCTAGCACCTCAGCATCTGAAATACTCACAAATACGGACTCTTCAGTCAAAGCGCGTGCTGTTGGTGACCCTTTGAGGGCTTAAACGCGGGATCAAAAAATCGACCTCTTATCAGAGCAACATTTCAGCATGAGCTGAAGGCATCGCTACAACCAGTACACCAGGAATAATGTGGCTATGGTACTATGTGCTACTAAAAGCACCGGGTTCCCTCTGATCTCCGCTGTAGAAGATTCGTGAGTTGTTCCTCGCCTACCAGAAGCTATTTTTGGCATACCCTAATTAAGGGTCATCCAGCGACCGGGCAGACATGCGAATAATATGGACTGCTCGCTACCACCACGAGCTCCACAAGCAAAATTCATCAATAATACCCGTAAAATCAGGACCAGAGTATCACGGGCTGTTTACCTGACTATAATATCATTAAAACGAGCTCAAAAGCGGAGGCATTTTTTAGAAAAAAAAGGAAGAAAAAGTTAATTTAACTCCCACCGGGCGGAGGATTTGAACCATCCTGCCCAATGTAACGGGTTGGGTAGTATGTGCTGACAACCTAACCATTAGGCCACGCACCCCGCTGAAAGGATATTTCTTGACTCGCTTTTGAATGGGCCATTTTTAGCGGTTTCTGACTAATACATGACTGGCCGATGGGGGCCTCGTAATGATCATGTATTACATGTCCTGCTTCCTCGAGGAGTTGTGGTTCTAGGAGCTTGAGCCTCGGGCTGCTTCAACTTTTCGCCAAAAGAGAGATTATTAGGAATATAGTATGTCATCCATATTACTTTGTAGCGAGAGCTCAAGTAATTCTGGGCGGAAACCCCGTCTTGTTCAATGTTTACGGAAACCTCTTAAAAGCTCCGCAAAACGTCTCGTACGCGAGAAACACCCCCAACCCACCCCCAAACTCAACCAGAAACTCAAGACGAAGGAACACCCAACTCCTGCAGACTCATCGGAAACAGCTGATAGTGCACATATATTCAGTTTGTTCAAAATTGGACTAAAAAAAAAGGTTCGAAAAAATAGAAAAAGGACACCTGGGCGTGGGTAATTCGTTGATTCCAAGTGTTCACAACTAGGCTACACACACCGTTGAACAGGCATGTTCTTTATTATTTTAGGGTGTTGTGACGGATAGGTTGTTGGTAATGATCATAATAGCGCCATCGGTTGCCGATTTGGGAACCTAGACGAACCGAGGCTGTTTGAGAGCAAAGAACTTGTCGAACAGGGAACCCCTGAATTAATCTTTCTCATGCTTTGTCTGCCTCCTTCAATACTTAGGCCAGGAAAGCAGTACGCTCGTGCGAATGAGATCTTCCTTATCACGCGTTTAAAGGCGACAACTAAATAATAAAATACTCTCCTGAGACATCAATCATGACTATTCGCGTTCTGGCAATTTCTTTCATTGTTAGAGATATGGTTGATTTATATAAAGTTAAATACATTTGCTGTTAGCCAACTACTACATACATGTATGTACTAACGTATATTTCTCATAGAAGATCTAGTAGACATTCACATGTAAATTGTAAGCCTCGTACAGTTGTAGTTTATATAACATTTATCCAGAAGTTTTATAAGGACCTTTTCTACGTATACGCAAAGAATCGACTATATGGAGTTTTTAAGCCTGCGAAAACAATTTTTTCCGATAAGACTTTCGACTCCTGATAAAGTTCCTAT